AGAGTGTTTTAGGGCAGCAAACCGTGGTCTCAGGCCACCTTGAATTTGGCTTGAAAACCACAGCTACATAGCTACCCTGGGTGTCTATACCTGGCAAGGTGCCAACTACACCTTTATTTTCAAGGTGGCCTGAACAGAGTGTTTTAGGGCAGCAAACCCTGGTCTCAGGCCACCTTGACTTTAGCTTGAAAACCACAGCTTTGAAGCCTCATGCGCGCCATACCAGAACTGTAGCTACTTGTAGCTACCCTGGGTCCGTATAAATAGTATGTTGCTATACCTCTTACACACCTATACAAGTTCAAAGCACGAATGAGACTTCAAGGCTGTGGATTGCTGTGCGTGTGTAGAGGTTCTCAAGCGGTTGACGGAAAGGGAACTTGAAGTACTATACCTGGTAGCTGCACTATAGCTACCCTAGGTCTCTCTACCTTGCAAGGTGCCAACTACACCTTTCCATTCAGATGATGCAAATGATGCATTTGGCATTTCTTGCATCACCACCCCTCAAAAATCACCTCCAACACAACCTCAAAAAACCTTCCCTCGGAGCACCCTCTTCCCCCAGCATGTGCTGAGTTGACGTATACCTTTCTCGGGCCACCCCCCCAAACCCCCTAACTACTCACTTCGTTCGCCAGACACAACTCCGCTAGCGCCTTCTACGAAGGCTGGCTTTCGTAATCTGTGTTACAAGTGTGTGCATCCATCCTCTGTGCTACAAGTGCCTGTATCCATATAACATTCACAAACATGCAAAACACACACACGACTCCAAAATGGTAGGTCCCGAATGTTTATATTGAGATGTTATTCTATCACGTTTTCCGTTCGAGAACAAATCACTGTCTGTGTTTGCTTCTCGAATCACTCACCCGATCGACGAACCATCTGCCCGGCCATCCGTTGTTGTGTTGCACCGCTGCTTGAACCTGAGTTCTGCATGCGAAACCGTGAAACCGGTGGGACCTGACACCTAACCTTGGTCTGTGGGCAATGTATCTTCTTCCTAAAATCCTTCGACTCCATGGGTGGACTGGATCCATGAGGGTGAAGGTCTAGAGTCTAACACAACAAATTCTTCTGGCCCTCCTGGCCCTTCGAGTTGTCAGTCCTTCCCCTGTTGGACAGGACGTGGCCACTAGCCTCCTTGTTCTTGACACTTTGGGTTGGCAATGTATTATGTAGGCATGTCGCATGTAAGAGTTAGTTTATATAATGAATACCTTCAAGGTCCTGCTGCTTGAGACTACTGAGAAAACCTATCCACAAGTGTCAAGTGATTGATTCATCCAACACTTCCTGAGATGATGTGATTTTTCCTGATTTGCTTGCTTACAGTCGGCAGTACGTTTTATGATCAAGTGCGAAGCCCTGCTTGCTTATATAATGCTGAAAAAAGGAGACCCATGACAACCCGCACAATGGCAACTGAGGTAAGCCCGGTGAACCATTGCAACGGCCCTTTTCGATCAGGCACCCACAACCCACTCTAGAGAACTGCAGGGCGGACTTCCCAAGCGGAAGGGCCCGCGTCCCTCCCTATCCGATGTCCAGAAATCATGGAAGGTCCCCTGGAAGGCCTTGGAAGGCCACGTTCCTCTTTAAAACACAAAATCACTTGTTGCATCCGAGGGAGTGTAGCCCTATACACCAACATGTGGCAGCCGTTCGTGGTACCTTTCACGCGCCCTTCGTCTTTTCCTATCGAGCTGCTGATGGGCACTGTCATGAGGGGAGTCGAACAGCTCCTTTATGCACCAGCAATGCGAGGGACAAATCCGGCGCTGCCAAAGACCCAAACAGATCGACATGGTACTAATAGCGATGGCCTCCAACCTAATAGCGATGGCCTGCAACCTAAGAGGTACTGTTGTAGATGGTGCTGTTGTTGTTGTTGATCCAGAAGTCAAGCGTTTGAGGGCCGGTGCAATTGAGGTCAAACACGGCCTGGCTACTGGCCTTGCTTTGTTTGCCAAGCGGCAGTGTGGGTCAAAGAACGTCAAAGGAAATCAACGTCACGCAAGGTTTCAACCCCAAATGAGCAAGCAGCGGCCATGAACATATAAAGCAAACACAGGATTCTTGCTTTGGCTGATTGTTCTCCAAATCATGATCTTGTCATAGTCACACAGTATCTATATCATCCATGGCGTGAGAATTCCATGAATGGTTCGGTTTACCTTGGTTTAAGTTTACCTCTTCAACATCAACCCAACCGCTCCATCAACCCGGGGACTGCACCCCACCGCTTCCCCACCGCTCCTGGAGGCGGTTTGGATGATCTCGCGGAGTCGAGGGATGCCCAACGTCACGTTTGCACCTCGACTCGCGAGTGCAGTGGGAAGAAAGCGTCCCGGACGTGCAGGACGTGTTTCTGACACAGCAACGTACACAGCAACGTAGAACTCTGCATGGACCGTGGTGTGATTTTGAGGTGGATTTGTTCCGGTCCATGTTTGAGTTTGGTATCATCTTGACTCTAGCACGACTTTGGTATCACCTCAATCCTTTTTCAGCTCGCACTTCATCACATCAACCTCTGCAAGTGCGATTAGAGAGGGTACCAATGCATCTCCAAAAGTGAGCAAAAAGTGAACAAGAAGCACAATGCAACCTTGGCTTGACTTAAGCGAGCTGTTCAAAGTTAGAGCCTTGTGACTCCTTTTTGACTTCCAGCAGTCTAGCAAAGGCGATCCATGCAACAAACTTGCCAGGTGCGATCGTCTTTGAGTCCCACTTCTTACTGCATACTGCATCATGAGAAAAACATAGACTTATATAAGACTGCCAGCTAGCAGTTGCTCAGTAGCCTGGATTGGTGCCTCTTCCGATCCTTTTCCACACTCATCAGTGTCAAATCCGCCTCCATGCCCCGCCAAGTGGAAGGTGTTCAGGGTCATTTGCGTACTTGGCTCACCTCAGGCGTTTTTTGAGAAACACCAACCAACTGGCACATGGTATGTACCAGTATATGAACTGGCACATAGAACCATACCATACATCCACCTCTATCACAATTCGCTGACCAATTTCTATCATGATTCTTCTTGAAGGCGAGTTGGCATCTGTGTTCTTTTCGACCTCTGCCGCGTGGCCCATGCTTTGGGCGGCGATCACGCCGACCGCTTCGCCCGGCTCGGCCATGGTCTTCCTGGGCGCTTTGCGCGGCGCGGCGGCTGGTCGCGGGGGTTGGCCACGAAGGATTTGGAAGTCAGTTCCCAAGCTATGGAACGAGGTACATGGAACTGACTCAAGGTAGTAGGATTTGGACAACTAAAACCAAGCTATGCAAACATGTGCAATCTGCTGGGAATCCAAAACGAACTCGGCCAGTTTCTTGTCTGTCATTGAAGAGTCTCGCCACCACACTGAAACAACCAAGTTCAAAGGACAACACTTCACAAACTTCCAGCATCTTCGCGTGGAACATGCTCTTCGTTGCAGGAAAAAAGCCATTCATCGGTACAATGTTGGATGATTCGAGGTCATGTTGCATGCTCCATCATCCAATCACAGGCCAGTTTCCGGAGCAACCTTCTGATTTCCATCTATATATAGCCCTGTTTCGCTGGCCTGTGCACATGACGCAGTGGATGTGCACATACACACACAGACACCAAATGTTTGCACATCATCATCCTGAATCTTAGGCTGAAGGACTCCTTCCTGGTTGGGAACCTGTTGGTCTTTCAACCCGCACATCAAGTATTGCAAGCAAAACAACAATCACTGGCCAGAATTGCCGCTTAGCCAGTCACTGCTCATGTGTCTATAAGGTTCCGCAGACAAACAAGCTTGATCCCAGCTGTCTCCAAACGAATGGGGATGTCACCTATTTGAGAAAGCTCTAAGTCCAGCTTGAGAGCCATCCAACTATTGTAATCGAAGGTTTTGTAAAGACTCACGTCCATCGATTCATAACATGCGTAACTGAGAAACCTGGATTAACGTGCCAACCAGTTACCCAACAATATGGTTGGTCCCAATTGCAAATCATCCTGACCCACTTTCTCCACCGCTGCGGAATCTGTTGCATTGACTCGAAATCCAAGCCGCTGGAACTTCAAGCGCATGGCACGCTCAAAGCGTTTGGCCTGACACATGGGTACAACCGCCATCGCTTGAGTCCAAACAGGAAGTGTGTTACATCTTGCAATACCGAAGTGGACACGTGTTTTGCTTTGCAGGACACCTGAACCATCAAATCTTATCTCGTGGACGGTGAACCACTATGGGGCAAAGCAACAACTAGAAGATGGTCCTATTTGCCGCTGCTGTTGAGATTCAAGTAACATTCCTAAGATTTTGTTCGAGGGTCTCAGGAGAAACTGAACACATGTTGTTCATAATTATGCAAGAAACAACACATGACAGTGTAGTCTTGAGGTGATACGCAGTTGAACTGTTCAACAATCCTCTGTGCACACTCACCGGCGGCTTCCAACGCCAAGCAAATACCGCAGGGCTCGTTTCCAACGGGCTTGCACCCTTTTCCTCCGCCATTAAAGACATGAATGGCCGTTCGGCCGCTCCGTGAGTCTGTCTGTACATTGGTCAAAATCAGCTGTTCTCAAGACTTAAGAGCCAGCGACTTGGGAGTTACGTTTCTGGGGTTATGTTAGGTTGCATCGCTCGTGGATGACACAAACACCTTTGCAGCCCCCAATGAGATGCTGCAATTTTTTGAACCAGTCGGAGGACAATTTGGATTTTCCTCTCAAGGCTGAATGCATTCAAGACAGAAAGGCTTTGATCACCCCTGGTCGATAGTCGGTCTATTTTCCCTCTATCAACTGGTTTGCCCTATACTCCTGAAAGCTCGCCTGACATTCACATGAGTCACAAATGTTGCAGGTTTGCTTGATTTAGCTTGTCTCCAGTAAAAGAGTGTAGCCATACCCTGCTCGTCCCTGAACCCTCCTCAGCTAACAGTGAACCCGTTCTGGGGAAAACACACCGATTCTGACCAGGCTGAACAGCACCTACCGCTGAAAGATGCGCGGGTCGTAGGTGCCCACTTGGTCAGCAACATCAGGCTTAAACCTTGGGCGGACAGTTCAGTGAAAGGGAACCTCCCAGTTCAAAGCTCTGCTGGTTCGATGTCTTTGGAAGATGTTCCGAGGTGTCCAAGTGGTGCAAGCATGTGCAAGCCAACGGCTCCAATGGCAAGTACACTTCGAACAACCTCATCTTCACCTTCTTCTTGGACGCAGCGAACCTGAAGCAAACCTTCCATCAAGAGAACCTGAAGTTGACCGCTGACTGGCCTGGTGGCCCTCAAAAAGTCTGCCAAGAGGCTCCATATTGTTGAAGACGTCCTCCCAAACAGCAATTTGTACCATGCCCAAGGCTCGAAACCCGTTTGAAGGCCAAGTCTGCAACAAGCACCCAAACAAAAAGGATTAATGAACGTTGATTCAACAAAAAAACAACAGAATGTCATTCAATTCATAAAGAGCTAAATAGAAAAGTAAGATCACCACCAAACTTAACAAAACTAACCATCCGACTGACAAATGCCCCAAGAAACACAAAACATTGCGTGCTTTCTACGCGGTTTGTTCACAAACCTCAGTTCTGGAGCAATTTCGGATTTGGGTATTTTCACAAGTTGCTGAAAGAAGTTGCGTGTCTTACTCTCCCTCAAGCAACATGTCTGCACAACAACCCCCAGAAATTCTAGGCCTACGCTCTGTCGGTGCTTCGTCGCCGACAAAGAAGCCGCCAACGCTGTGACAGAAAAGAAGTCATCAGAAGCAGCTGTCGTTGCACTTCCACTGGGGGATCATTTAGATTTGCGAACATTCCGATATCTGAGGCGCGGTCAAAAGCTATTGACGAAAAATCGGAGGTCATTGGCTTGGGTGGACCTTGTCGTTTCACTGTGTGTTGAGTTGGCCACATACTTATAACTTATAACCTATAACTATGATCGCATTATACAGTCACAGACCCAGATCTTGTGAAACGTAGGTAATTTATGTCTTTCACAAAGACGTGCTCTGCCTGACCTTTTCCATCTTGTGAACTCCCAATGGATGTGTAATTTCATTCAATGGCAAAGAACTTGAATGAGCTCTCCTTACACAGAACCCAAGTAGGCTCTTGACAATATTTGCAAAACTCATTTTCTTGTAGGAATTACGGTGTCTTAATTGACTTAGTGTTTTGTTTACTACGCGTCATCCCAAACATTGAAACAATGGGGCTCAACAATGCTGGATTGCTTTCTTGGATAGTAAACGCTGGAGCCCGTTGATTCCTTTTGCCAGCCAAAGTTTCAGACCTGAGATTGAGCGCGAAGCCCCTGAGTTCACAAACCTCTGTTTCTGGTCTAGGTTTGGACTTGTTTGGAGTGGCTCTTACCTGATTAACCCACTAGTTCCTTAGACCTGAATTGAATTGACCATTTTGAAAACAAAGCCGCTTAAAGGCTTCAAGGCAAGAACACGATGGAGTTTGGACATAGTGCATGCAACTCACGGGTGCGACTATTATGTACAGTAAGTGACCAAGTTGAAAGAAGGTAGATGATAAGATCAAGTTTTTGCCAAAAGCAAATCATCAAAGCGGCCAGAACAAAGACACAATGTAACATCTTGACCAGGGATGATTTTGGATGGCGACAGAAAGCTCACCACAAACTGTGAAATAAAGTTGAAGTAAAGGAGACGTAGAAGACATGAGTAACTGAGTAACCTATGTCTTGGAAAGATCTGGGCAGTGCTGCAGTTATGAGTTTCGAGGTGGACCTGATCATGCGACAGGATTTTGCTCATGCGTGTTGATTGGACTTCATCGAGTGGAGGGTCTTGGTAGGTAGACCTCTCAATTTTGACCTAGTGATGTTCGGTACGTATGTGATAAAACTATGGTAGTTGAGACTTGGTACCTGCTGTGTTGGTATATTTCACCTAATATCCCCATCTGTCCTGTTGTACATGACAGTTTGATGGACATCAGGCTGTCTACCTTATAACTAGCTTCAATGTATCTCACCTGATCACTCTGGTGGCATGTTCTCTGCGCATAAAACACCTTTGGGTGCCAGTACCATATTATACATCCATCTACCACTGTACATCATGTCTTACTCAGGTCGTTTCGGACCGCCCCGTCGCCACGTCCCCACCGCACCGCGCCCGCCCCTCCTCAAGGCGCATGCCGGCCGCGAGCTCCGTCAAGAGCAGCCGCTGCTGCCGAAGCTCCATGACCTGCGGAGAGCGAAGCTACAGCGGTTTCCGAGGGCAGAAAGGGGCTCGAGGCGAAGAAGCAGAGGCTTGAGGGTGTGGAAATGGATCAAGAGACACTAATAAGGTGAGACACCCTGGAGAAGAGGGTGAGGCGCTTGCAAGCTCTTCATCCATCTATATAATGGGGTGTGGATCAAGAGACACCCAAGAGCTTGCAAGACTGCTAGTTGAACATCTGCAAATAGGACTGAACATGAGGACTGAGATTTGGAGATGAGCAAACGCACAGAACTGTAGAGTTCTGTCTATGTCCGTTTCGCTTGGTCTGTTTTGGGATCTAGTGTAGGCTTCTGGAATTCTGTAATAATTGATCATGATAGCATCCTGTGTCTGGCAAACATGGTGCTTTCATGTCCCCCATGCACGCGTACCAAATCGACCTCCCCTGCTCTCAGCAGGCTGTGGATGGGGCCATCTGCCCGTGTCACGTTCTGTCCGTCGCGTTCATCCATGGCACACAGCGTTCGGTGACGAAGACAATCCGTCGGCTGCCCTGGGAGGCACTGGGGAACGTGACCTCGTCGATCCTCAGGGCGCGACCCCAGCAGCTGGACGAGGTGTTGATCTTCCACATCCCCCACATATTGGTATTAGATTCTGAATAGGGAGAAGCCCGAAGACCTTTGGGAAGATCAAACACAAGCTAATACATATAAAATCATATGAATGCTTTGATTGGGAGGCACATATCAATTTCATCTCTGCCACATGACACTGGAAATCCGGGAGAAGCTAATTGTATATACAATTATATACTAATCATAGTGATCGTCAAATGAGTGTTCGATTAGATGTCTGAAAAGGCGCTTGCACCCATTTAAACAACTCACCTGTGCTCCTTGCATGGGCTGCACATTGTACTGACAGAATTGCACCAAAATCAAACCCCACCTCCACTCAAACGAAATCAATCCAAAAAAGGTTTCAGATGGCATCGGAGCGGTTTATCCGAGCTTCTTTCGTTTAAATTTCTGGATGGAGCCCTCCTGTACAATGATGAGCTTCCCATCCTCCACCTGGCATGCAACGAAAACGCCACGACTGAGTCCTTGTGGGTTGACATGGATATGACGCCGAATTTGACTCTCTCACACACACCACCCTACTGTAGATCTTGCTCAAAGGAAAAGCAAATAAACATAATCCTACCTACCTTCAGGAGGAAAAAAAGAACAAGCCTGGCAACAGTAGATCTGCTTTCTCAAAGAACAAGTGGCAGGCTGTCGCCGAGAAAGACGGGCATGTCCAGACTGAAGACGTCCCCAGCGACCCGGGAGCAGCGACCCGCACAATGGCGGCGACAAGCCCCTCTTGCGGTCCCCGCAGCTTGGGTGGACAAGCCCAGACGCGACCCATGGGACTGCCATAGGACTGCCGATCAATTGGGGTGGTGCCAGGGGGGCCAATGTAGGCATATATGGCAGTCCCATGGAGCGTCTGGAAAAAGGAAAGGATCCAATATGTTTTTGATGTCAAGTTCGAAGCGCTGTTGATCCAATGAATGCAGTGGTTTCAGAGTAGATGGCACACACCCCATGATGTTCTTTAGATGGGAGTTCATATAAACCACCTCTTGGGGTCTGTGCCATATATATATATACTATCAATCCACTATATGTTAGGTAGTCTGGTAGTTGCACCATACACTGAGAACCAAAGTCAACCACAAATTAACAGTACATAACGATATCCACACAAACAAAAAGGACAATCCCCAGCAAACTGGACCCACCCGAGTGCACGTCGCTCCTGTGAGTGCACCCTTTCCTCCCTGCTTCACGAATCTGAACCCGGCGTGTTCCGCTTCGCGGAACGCTTCGCGGAACTCGAGCCTTCGTGACTAAATTGCCACAAGTCAAGGTCGTGGTGAAGACTAAGGTCTTCGCATTGGCTGAGATGTCCTTGGATCACCACTGGTTTTAGTGCCAAGCTTCTTCCACCAAAGGTGTGCTATCGAAGGAAAGGTGACCACCTGCATCGAATATCGAATATGATGAAAAAGACTTGGCTTCTATCTAGACATTTTTTTATGACCTGCAAAAAACAACACCGCCTGTTTGGGAAATCATTGAACACCGCCTGTTTGTCAATCACTGGCACTTGGATGCACTTGGTAATTACCGTCTTGTTGGGCAAACCTGTAAGAAGGTCAACATCACTCAAACATCTGCGATCTGTGCTCCACCTTGTACCCTTTCAGAAGCTTCTCTTCTACGTCTCACCGGCCCCTCGCCGACCACGGGGGAGTTCACCGCCCCAAACGACCGAGGCGCTGCGAAGCCACCGACGCCAGGCACACGCCCCGCGAAGTTGGAGACGTTGACGTTGCCCTGAGGATCCACCTGGACGTGAACGCAGGAACTTCAAAAGGACGTGAATCAATGAAGGCTGGTCATAAGTCAATGACTTTCAATTGATTTCAATCTGTTTCACCGCAACCTTCCAGTGGATGTGGCTGTGGGCAAAGTAGGGCATCGAAATCAAGAGGTGATGCAAAACAACAAACATAGTGACATAGAATGTGCGGCAACACAGATTATTGATTGTTTAATCTTTGTATAGAAATCCAGCAACTGCATGCAACTGCTAGGTTAGTAACCATCAGTTTCAGCCCTTGTGGAGTGCTTGTCCTTTTTGTTGGTGCCCACACAGTGTGATCCACAGCGATGGTACCAGCGATGATGGTGACCGTCCGACGGACCGATATCGGAGACTCCGCGGGTCCGAGGGATGCCTCGCCCACTCCCAGGAAGGCGACGTCAATGCCGCCGCCCAGGTAGAAGTCCATCATGGTGCTCGTGGGGACCAAGGCCTGGACCGTGGACTGAGATCGACTGGGTCGTTAATGACTGGAGCCGGGGACTTGGGGTGCAATGACTGGAGTCGGGGCAAATTGATCAATTATATGAGCTCAATTCTCATGGTTTGAGTTCCAACTGCTCAACTGGGATTCTGGTCGCATTTAGTATTGTTAACTGCATTCAATGTTGTGTAAACTGTGTATATATATATAGCTATAAATAAACATATATTAAATTAACTATATAGCCATGCTAAGTAGTATGCTAAGTATTTCTGACATCCTTTCAGCCTAGTGGGGCCGGGACCCGCCGGCACGTCGTCCGGGGAAGGCCGCTGACCTCGTAGCCGACGCTGGTGCCGAAGCGGAAGCCGCCCTGGGGCACGCCGCCCCAAACGCCGCTCTCCACGGTCGACATGAAACCATGAAGCTCGGGGTTCCTCGGCTGGAAGGGAAGGATGGGAAGGAGGTGTCCTGTCGATGAACCGGAGACCGGATTGTAGAGGTTGGCTCAAACTGCAACAGTTTTTGATCATGTTTTGAATTGTGATCCTGATTGCGATGTCTCTGTATGGAAAGTCCCGCCAGGGAGCAAGGACTCCACGTCGAAACGGTGCAAGCCTTTCCAATTGGTCGAGCTCTCAAGCTTGTATCGAACACTATCAAGTTCAAATTCTTCCAGAACCTTGTGCGAATGGATAACACAGCCACAGAATGTTGTCGATCACAGGTCCAATCTTAAACCATACGTGCAGGCACCCATGTTTTTCACCACGGTGGTCACTCTTTGGGTAAGCCACTGGTGATTTTTTAGTCTTCCGCTTCTACCAAGCGAACCCCCAGAGTATGAGAAACCCTGGCTAAAATATGATGAACTCAAGAGTCCTAAGGTTTTCCGGCCCCCTGACAAGTGGGGGTTAGTGTTTCTTTGGGCTCACGACTCATGATTGAAAAACTGACATCTTGGCTCATCTCTTGCGTCTTGACATCACCGGCTCCCGTCATATCATCCCAGCGAGAGTCTGATGGCCATGGCTGGCCATCATGGTGGCCACGAACCTCGCCCGGAGAAACGAGCATGGGCAAGTGACCTCTGAAGAACCTGGGAGGGCTCACACCACAAAATATACAACAAACACATAATGGCAGTAATATCTACTGTACTGTATCTATATAATAATTATGTATATATATATACCACACATCACAAAACAATTTTGAACACATGGGAGGGTGCTGAGAAGCGCATCTTGAGAACCCTGATAGATTTGGAGTCCCTGAAGGTGTCGATCTGTCGCCGTACCCTTTTGAGCTTCGTGGCCCTGGTTTGGAAATCACCCACAACACCAAAAGACGTGGCAATTTTCACAAGACTTGTTCAAGCGTCTCAGGGGTGTTGCTCAGGGGCCGGTTCAGGGTAGATCGCAAAAGAGCACAAAGGCGGTTGAACATGGAACCCCACCGAAATATCTCACTTCCAAAAGATCAGTGACTTCATTTTGCTAGATCATCATAAACAAAACCACCCCCCCCCCCAAAAAAAAAAACAAAAAAATAAACAACACAAATCAAAAACAAGAAACACACAACACAAAACAATAAGAAACCAAAAACCAACTGCTGAGACCAACTTTGACCGGCCCTTTCCAGTTCAACTGCACGCCTAGCCTAGCCCGCCCACCAAATGTCCGCCGCTATCCGCCCACCCCTGTCCAAGTCTCTCAGGAGATCCCACACCAAAGTTGAGCACCTCACCAGGAGAAATTTCCCAATGCGCATCTGGCAGCATGTGTTGCTTCCCAAACAAGCAGATCAAGAGTGTTTGGCACCAAATAGATGATCGATGGAAATGACTTCAGTTACCTTGGGAATTGTAAGGTCATCATAAGAACTGAAGTATCGTGAAACATCTGCTTACTCATCACGTTTCAAGATTTGAGGTGATAGCATGGTGATAGCCTCAGCTTCCAATTACTGTACGGGTCTATTAGACTTTCCGCATTCCTTGTTGGGCACAGCCCCGTGAGAACAACCGACCAAATCCATAAAGTGACTTGAGAGGGAGTTCTGTCATGGGTTCAACTCAAGCATCGTCTCCGAACCAATGAATCCCAATGGGCTTCAGAATTGCTTTTAAATGACTTCCACTGCTGGAGATCTGCCCAAGGCTGCAATGCCGACTCTGGTCACTAGCCTACTTAGCCTACATTCAAAAACACAGTGTCTTTGTAACGAACACCATGTACATCCATGTACCATGTCCCGTTCTCTCTACGATGTCAAAAGAAAAATGCCTCCGATGCCATCTCTCCGAAGTTTCAAGGCACTGCCCTGGGCTTTTTGACCTGAACTCCGATGAACGTGGCGGTGGAACTCTCCGCTAGGTAAGGTGTATCTGTTTTGGGGGGATCTTCCGAAAGAGGCGGCCTATTCCGAAAGGGACGAGATGTCCGACTGTGGAAGAAAGGCCCATCATCGTTCATTTGGACTATTCTTCGTTTCGGATGGACTGATAGGATCGAAACCGACGAAGAGGTAGTTACAGGTGGGACGGTGGGACTGCAAGGTCAATGATGGGCCCTTACAAGATTTGTGATACTTGGAGTTTGTTGGGTGTTGGGGGTAACCCAAGGGACGTTTAGAAAAGGAGTAAAGCATGATTCTAAAGCAAGTAAATACTCCCCGTCAACCTCCGAACTTCGCTGACTACTGCCAGGCACCACAAACGATGCAAAAGTGAGAAAAAATTGAGAGGCTGGTTGGCTTTGTGAGCAAAGATCTGAGCGAATTTGCCAGTTTGGGCTGATCTTTAGGGACCCCAAGAACCAAACAACACTACCAATTATACAAATGATTGTTTTCAGGTTGGAAGATGATGAGTGCAATGGGTCTCGTACATATCGTCATCTAGAAGGTGTCACTTTTAACAGCATGAGCCAGTTGTGACATGTTGTGACATCATAATTTCGAAAGATGCTGTCAGATGATAAGATCACCACCCAAGGTCAACTAAACCATCCTGGTAGTATGTAAGTCAAATGGAAGGAGCAGGTTTGGAACTGCGCCAGGATGTCCTTATACAGTGTGTGATGCTTGGAAACTCCCCGCACCTCCCTCAGTGAAGGGTTGCTTACACATGTCACTCCCAAACACCAGCAACATACTCCCAATAGTAGTGTGCAAAACAAAGCACCCAACCTCACTGTGTTTTTGTCCAATAAGCATGCCCCGCACAAACGCATATTCACATTCCGTATTCCACAAATCAGTGATGTTGATCTTTTTGTTGATTGTATCCTTCACCGGGTGACTTGAAAGCAACATTTCATGCCTACCCTAGGTAAACCAATAGCTATATATATATATAGAAATCTGGTTCCAAGATTGGAGCTCTTGCATTTGGATCAACGTGATATAACGTGATGATCCTATGTTGAAGATCTGCCAACATTTGTATAGAATCACGCGGCGGTGAAGCTCCACCTCCGAAAAAAGTTTGTAGAGTCCCACCGTCCACCCGACCGAAACCAAACCTCAAAAGGACCAACAAACGCTGCAAGGACGCAACAAGGCTGCAAAACACACAAATCACCAATCCATAACTTCCATCACCCAAGCAGCCTCAAAGAGTGCTCGATGTGCCATCACACGCTTCTGGCATGCATTTCTGGGACCTGCGCGGCGTCACCGGCGTGGCGTGACGTGCGTCGATGTCACTGCCGAGAACCGAGAGGTGGACAGGACCAAAACTGGGTCAACTCATCCTCTGCCACGGTGCGGATGGAAGGAATGCTGCCCCGTTCGTAGCGTCCGAACGCTCCTAGTAGTAAGGCCAGGATGGAAGGAATGCTCTTTTTGGTGAAACAAAAAGCACAAAATCACCAAATCTGCTATTACAAAGGTCCTTTAATCAACGCGACGCTCTCAGAATCAACACACAGAAACCAGACATGCATTCTCGGTGATTGCATCACCCGGAACATCCAACCATAGTCAAAGCCTTCCCAATGGGATGATGCATGAGACTCTCTTCCAAGCATTGGGGTTGTTGGGCAAGCTGCAAATATCGCTTCAGGTATACCTGTCCAACGTATACCTTCTGTCCAGGGACTCTACCTGCGATTATGGCTCTACAACATTTGTTGGGTCAATTGATCACTTGGTTTCCATGTTCAGTGCGAAAAGTTTTCTGCTTACTGGACCAGATTTGATGCCTTGCAGCATGTCATTAATTGTCATCTCTCTCGAATTCCAACCATACCACAAAGATTAAAACGAAACAAACACACAAAAACCACACCAAATGCCTCCATCACTTTCCAAATTTCCACAGATCGATACAGGGAGGTCTAATACATCTCCAGCCAGTGGCGCCGCGAGTGCAAACCACGCCTTCCCATGGGAGTTGCTCCAGGTGGGAGCGCAAGGGTTTCATCTCTCCGGACAAGGTGGGATCGTACCTGATCCAGCGCCAAAACATACGGGCACGCTCTGTACTGCGCGGAGTGGGCTACTGACCAATCACCCGGCAACTTGCTGAAAACAGCGTGATGGTTCAATTCTCGGACGCAATCCCCAAAGTCTATGCAAAAAGAAAGAGAGACAGATCAAAAAGATGTGACCTGTGCGAAAGAATGAACCAGCTTCTTAGTGCTGGTGTGTAACAATCAAACATGACCAGGCTTTGAATCACAACTATAGCGCGATTAAAGAGAACTATGTCAAACGATGTCCATCCACATGCTTGAAACACCATTTACATCATTGAAGTACCATCCTGAGAAGAAACATCGAAGGTTGGACACCTGCGTGCCAAATCTGTGTGCCCTGAGAACAGATTCACCCAAATCCACCGACGTTGCAACGTTTCCATTCATCTTCCCATCCTGCTGTTTCAATTGAGGATGACTACAGTCTCAGTACAGGTCGAGGAGCAAGCAATAACACAAGCAATCCCATTGTTCCACCGGGTCTCCGCTAAAATCAATTCAATGTACCAGTACTTCTTGGTGCCCTCCCAAAATATGGACACACCTACATCATTAGCACCCAGCAAAAAAGTAAACAGCCTTCTGAGCTTCATCAGGGACACTCTTGATCTGCTGGCGCATAAGTCACCGCAGAATGCTCTTTGCCAGCCACCACCACCATATCCACCTGAGAAACGTCCGAGTTTGGAACAGCAAGGGAAGCCTGGCCTTTGAAAGGAACACCAGGCTAAGCACCTGGCGGCTTCCTACAGTCAAACCACTTCCGCTATAACTAAAACCACCAATTCGTGATAGGGAATCATTCCACTCAAGAGTCAGCCTGGAACACACAAACACACATTGCTCATTTTAGGAGTGCACAATGCCTTCTCTTGTCAAGCACAACACAATGCCCAAACAATGATTCCTTCTAGGTCATTGGCTTCTGCAATGAAAAGGAAACTCTGAACAAATATTCAAGCTCCACTGCAGATTCGCTCCTTTGGGGTGATTTGATATTTAGACAGGTGCAGTTAAGAAACAATTGCTGAACACTTTCAGTAATTTCAGTACACAAAATATCTTCCACGTGAGTTCCGCTCGAGAAAGATTGAAACTCGGGTTTGGGCAGGTAGCATCGAAACACCTGCTTTGACCACACACACACTCTCTAGGAAGACCCCATCTGCCCATCCGATCATCTCGAGTCGATACTGGAGGCATGCCCATAAACGAAGAACCACACACCCGAACACCTCAAGCAAATGAGACAGGACAGAAGAAATCAGTCTTCCGCATAGGACTTCCCATGGCTACTTAATCCACCACTTCCATCGATCCCGAACTCGAAGACAGCCCGAGTCGTCACCCTTGTTAGGTCCAGTGGAGCCACGTGGCTAACATTCCAGGGATGTGAACCCTTCGATGATCCAGGCTTCCTGAAGGCACCACACGCTGCACCTGGACGATGACTAAACCGCCATTCTTCTTCGCCGCCATCGCTTGGTTTAAAGAGTCCAAAAGCAATGGCTCCTGAGTGTTCAGGTGTCGAACAAGTTCACAGGTCCAGGAAGGTCCAGGTGACAAAAGAGACTCACCGTTGCTTTGTGGGGTTTCCTTTGGAGTTCAACGTGCCAAACGATATGGCTTGGGCAGCCACTCAATCTTTGCAAATCCCATTGACTATCAGTTAGGTTCAATCTTAAACGTCGACAGACCACAGTTTTGCCACGTTTTGTGCTTTTTTTCAGCCTTCATTTCTACCGACTGGAGTTGTTCAAATGCTTGCCATTCTTGAGCTATACCAACATGACATCAGCATTACAACCGACGGTGTTATTCATGTTCTTTGTTCTTGCCAGCGCCGGTGCCGGCGACGACACGTCCACCTCTTCGGCTGAGCCAGGCCACGTGTTCGAAGGAGATGTTGCCAGCCTCATCGGCCAGGGAACCCCGCAGCAAGGCCACGGTGATCCTCGGGTCTGGAGAACAGGCGAGAGGGGCCGGCGCCCCTCGAAGCCCCAACGGCGGGTGAGGGGGAGGATCGTACATGCTATCCGATAGAGTAATTCTTCAGAATATCAATTCTTCGTGTGATATCTAATTTGGATGGTCGTCTTAGTATATGTCTTGATTTGGATGGTTGTCTTTCACTCCTTTCCACAGGGAAGTCCGTACAGTAGCCAATACAATGGCACGCAAGAACCAGCGCTACTAATTGGTACCGCCAACCTGGCCAACCCCCAATCAAGGTGTGGAAGATGCTGAAACGATCTGTGGTGAATCAACCGGGACGCAGGACACACCATTTATGTTTGACCATGCAGCATCAAACACTCTTCCACAGAAACGTCTCGGTCTTGACTTCGTCACGCCGCTACAGTAAGCGGCTCTTCCTCCTAAAGGAAAGGACTTCCCTGCATTGAAGTCCAAAGCTCTTGGGCGCAGGATAAAAAATATATTCCTCTCCATCCAAGACCTGTCGCACATCACTCAGGTTGTCTCGAACACCCGGCAAATGTAATGGAAGTCCTTTGTTGGTTCACAATCCTCATTCTAGCAAATTCTAGCAGGTCAATCATAAACCTCTGCCCCCACACAAAAAAAAATAACAAGGCCTGCCAAGGAGGAAACATCAATCCTTAAAAGCCCTCTGATTCTGTATCGCCGATTGCGATTCCGACTTCTTGCCTCTACGTTTTTGCCGGCTTCTCTCTCAAAGGTGACCGGTTCCACCCAACGTTCGACCCCCCTCGACCTCTTCCGTGTCAGAAACACATAGATTGGACTCAGGACAGGCTTCTTGAGAATCAGAAAATTATCCAGGCCCATGCAGGCCGCTCTTGACACTTTCCCCGTGTGATCTCTAGAGCACATGTGTCCATGTCTTCACCTAGTAGATTAGGCTAGATTGAAAAGTTTGAGCAAGTCTCTGGGTCTCACCTGGTCCATCAAAAAAATCAATGTCTTGGACCTTCAAAAACACACCAAGCTTGCTAAGAAATCACAGCCCAAAAATTCGGCCTGCAACTTCACCAAATCTTTGGTGGTCTGCTTATTCCGCTTGCCACCGCCCTTCCGCGGGTCAGCGAAGGTATGCAAACCCACCTTGGAAAGGTGTCCTGGCGAAGAGATGCTCCATGAAGCTGTCTGGTGTCCACCCTGGATGGAACTGGACGGCTCATCACGTTGCATCTCCGCCGGTCCATTGAACACCTATTGGATGGTCCTGGTCTTTTCGGTCGCTCTCACTAACCCATTGAACGCCCGCTCAGACGTCCCAAATTCCCCCATTTCCCATGTCTTTTGTTCGGAGACCAATTCCATCCAATTCCCAACCCACATCTCAAAAAACTCAATCAACAAAGTTATTCCATAGATTTATATTGTATATAACGGGGTGTTGTTTTCATCCTTTCGACGGTTCTCCTGGGGCACCATTGGCTGAGCTTCGGATCATGTGAGAGATCTGACCCATTGGCAGGTTATAGGCTTCAATCTTTCCGCTCAAGACGGCGTTCGTAAAGGCTGGACAAACCTAAGCGATGGGCACGGCGTGGACAAACCGCGCGTTTCGGAGACCGCTGCGACGATGGGCACTGCAAAACTCCGGATCCGGACATTGATTGATATCGGGCAATTGGTTGGTTGTGTGGATGCGGGCAGCTTCGGGATGGGCAATTCTACACGTGGAATGGCAGATCTGATGCCATGCAAACAAACACTCAGTGGAGTTTTGTGACCTTGAAATGGATCTGACCTGTCGAGCCTGTTGGGGTTGTCACTCTTCCCCATCCTCCCTCAACTCGAGGGGCGCAACTCCTCCATTCAATGTTCTTTCGAAACCAAAACCCAGAACCAGAGACCTACCCTGAGACAGTTCACTGCAGCTCCAGCGGATCGAAGAGCTCACCCCGCGGAGAGGTTCGCTCGAGCTCACCGCCTCACCGCTCCGAGAGACGTCGGTCCAACCGAAGACGGCCCTGGAGACCATAGGGGTCAAGGGCTCTGTACCTGGGCTCTGTCGGTTAAGGCGACGACAGATCGACTCCTTCTTCGGGTGAGGAGCTTCCTCGCCATGACGAAGGCGGTTTTTCTCGTTTTGTTCGACGACCCAAACGGTGGGGACACCTCTCAATGCGCTACGCGCATCGCCGTCTCTGCTATCGCTTTTGGCGGACAAAAGACTGTCATCTGACGTCCCTTTCCCAAGTCAGCCATAGGTACAAGAAACTGGTGGATCAGTTCACGCCTGAGTGGTTTGTCTAGTTGCAGAATTTTGTTGGTGAACTAGCAACACCCGCTCTCCGAGCAGCACTATGCAATGCTTGGAAACATGGGGATAGATAATCATGTGTATGATTTGATGTAATCATCCGGGCTGTGACCTTCCTATTAATTAGCTGGCGTGGCTTTAATTAGTGCAAATGATGTAGGTTTCATAGATCTCGTGTGAGGCGCCTCTCCCTTCACGATCGCCCACAATGATGGAGAAGACCATCTCCAGATCCCGAGGATGCTTTGTCTTATCATAGCCTCACTGCGTCGTTGGTGGAACGCTGGAGTAGCAAAACACCTCCCTCTGACCCTCTGGATGTTCAGCAACATAAGCTTCACCATCATCACCCAGCATCTGTGGTCATGCACTTCGAGGAAGTGTGGTTGAAGCACCCCCGAATCAGGACCCAACTATTTGAACCGACCAGCAGTTAATCACATGACTCAGGACTCTGAAAGGACAGACTGTGCAAGTTGACCTACCGCTTGGTTGACCTACAGTACCCGGAAGCTCGTAAGCTACATTGGTGAACCAGGGCTCCCGGTTTTGGCCCCTCCCCACGTTGGCAGGAAATACAGCGAGTTCTGTACTGTACTGTACTTTCTCTCTCTCTCTCTCTCTGTTCCTCCAACGCGTGAAGCCAAGAGGCCCGAAATGGCAGATCCAGTACGGAAGGGATTTTGTAATAAGTTCCATCAAGTTCCCAAACACACCTAAGAACAATTAAACACCTATAGAAGGTGGGCGTGTCCAACCTCTCCAAAAGCTTTTTCGGTTTCCAACCTGTGGAGAGTCCCTGGCCTGAAACCCCTGGGGTGTCCTTTTTGGCTCTTCCCAGTCGCGCTTCCGTAAGGCGGTGATCAAGGCATCACATGGCCTCAGAAATTTTCAGTGGACATGTTGCAGTGGCTTGCACAGCTTGGAGGTAAAATATGTGTGTATACATATATATATATTATTACTGTATGTGACATGTGTTCGTCCTATGGGTTGAAGGGTGCAGGTGGTTCATCCTACTGGAAGGTTCTCCAGCAGCCGAAGCAACCGTTAACCGGGCATTGGCCAGTGTGACTGGCCGTGACCTTGGCATCTGCAGGTGGTGCAGTCTTCCTGTTACCACGTCGGCTATGGGGTGATGTGTGTAGTTGGTTGGTGAAGTGACCCTGCTTGTAGCTGCCAATGTAGCAAAGAAAGCTTGGATTTCTACCAGCAAAGCCATGTATGATACCAGGGACATGTTCTTTCCAGCTACACTTTGGTGGCTCCAACTTCAATTCTGCATGCAGGAGACCCATCTGGAATTTCAAACACATCATTCAGAGACGGTCCAGGAACTCTCCTTTTCGATGCGTTCCAAGAGGTCCCAAAGGTCCAAGATGGCGCAGTTCCACGCTAAACTGAACAAAAGAACCAGTAACCACATCTTCAATCATCAGATAGCCTGGGAAGGTGTTCTTTGGTTCACATCTTCGATCTTCAGTTCTTTTTTATCAAAGAAGATGGACCTGGACTTCTTCTCCCAGCGAGACACCTGGACTTCTGGACCTCCGGACCCAGACCGACACACACCTGGACCGAACGGATGGCCGACGAAGCCGTCGCCGCGTCGCCCAACCAGGTCCGAAACCGGCTGACCAGCGGCATGGCTGCGACAAAGCCCGCGGAGGTCACAGAGTCCCCGTCCAGAATGCAGCTCGCCGCCTCATGGCCGCTCGCAGGTCGCCACGGTCGCTACGGTCGCTACGGTCGCTACGGTCTCTCTCAACACGACCAAAAGAAGATCGCCAAGCACTGGAAGATGGAGGGAATGCCTCGAAACCGCTTCGGTTGATTTGTAGAGCTGCCCAAACAGATATGGCAAAATGATACAGGCCTAAAGAAACACAAAGCAAGGCAATGGGAGTCGATTCTGCCAGAAGCGTCATATTCCAGTTGTATGAAGATGGATCATATACTATACTGTTATGAAAAGCAACTCAGGAGGCTTAGCGCGGTCCAACATACGTCCTTCACTGCTCTTAGTAGTGCTATAGCATGGTGAGTTTTCTTGCCACAAATTCACAAATGCGGTCCCTCCGGGCTCGGTCGCGGCCTGCTCGGCGGAAACGATCTTAGACCTGACAAACAGTTGGCGCGCTTCTCTTGTCTTTTCGAACTGGCGATGGGCAAATACAAGCTTTTGATATTGTGGGAGCACCAGGAGTACCATTGTTCATGTGTCACACATCATATAGGCTGGGTGAGTTCAGCAAAGTGCAAACACCCTGAGAGCTACATTGTATATTCCATGGATGCCTTGCAATCAGTGTCTGGCAGCTATGTGTACTGCAGTGGGATCTTGTCAGAAAACAAACACAACACATCTAAACCATCCAATCTTCTACACTAGTAGCAAAAGCAACCTCCGGAGTGTGACTGTGACAGGTGACAGGATCGGAGGGGTAGGAAGCTTTCCTTAGTGAAACGATCCTCTGATCCCTTTGACTAAATGCATTAATTGCCAAAATGCAGTAAAGCTCCTATCGTGATCTATCATGCCATATGTACATATATATATATATATATGCACATGACATGATAAATCCCTAAGAATCGAGGATCCTCAAAGGTGAAGATTTGGAGGGCCCGAACTCCTGCGTTCTGCAGGGTCAAAACCCTCCTGAGAAGGGTCCAATGATGCTTTGGGATATTGTCCTTTTCAGTTTGTTCTATTTATCACTGCTGGGACTTCCTAAAAATCCGGATGTTTGGATGCTCCAAGGGGCTTGGTGGTGAGGCTCTTCCGGAGCTCTAGGGTCTGCCGTCTTAAGGCTTCCAGATCCTCTTCCTCCTTCTCCTTGGGCTCGGCAGAACGCAAGGGATTGCAAGTCTGTTAGCTGGTAACGCCATAATCTTTCCCTGCTTCAGATAGCAACCGGCTGAAACCCTTGAACATCTATCCCCATGGCCCTATGTGATCTTCATTGCAAAAGCCAGCCAAGCATCTCAAAGCCAACCAACATTAAGCTAAAACGACATTTAGGTTATCAACTGCCACACCAAAAAGAACCGCCTCCTCTTTCCCGGACATCATTCATCCATCAAGGGCACTGACATTAACTGTAACATTTCAACAGTTCTCCACCGACCTCTTCGCTTTCTTTTCGCCAAACCCTTCGGCCACATTCCGTTTCGCTCCCCTGCTCTGAATCCGTCGCTGAATCCCGGAACCGGTCCGGATCTGCGAGTGTCCACGACCAGTTGAGGCGTTCGGAGCGCCAGGTTCACCACCACGCGCCCGCGGATCTGCCCCGCCAGAATCCGCTGCGCCGCCTCGTGGAGGTCCTCCAACGCCACCTGCGGATGGTGATGGGGGATGAAGGGCAACGTACGCTTAAGTTCGTTGTAAAAGACAGTGATCGACAAATGAGCCACTTATCAGATGTACACCGGTAAAAAGATTGAAAACACATGAAAACAACATAAAACAACACATCTAAAGCAAACAAACATAGATCTTCGTGCAGTCTTAAATTTCCACCGCATGGACACATTTGGAGTCTTTGGGATGTGATGTGTAATCTTGGAAAAATACCGGGCTACCACTTTTTCACAAAAGGATCTGAATTCACGAGCACCCTGCTCGCAGAGAAACTAGGCATTTGCCGATTCAACAATTTTTGGGGACTCAACTGACAGAACACCAATGGATTTCAAAGACACAAAATCGAATCTATTGGTGTGCAGGAACACACATCAATTTTCTATCGATTGCAATCGTAGGTAACCTGAACATTTGGTTTTTCAATTGATCTCCATTGTCGATTTAAAAACAAGAACTGCACGTCCAACATCTTCATGCGACCTCGTCCAACCCCACCTTTGGTCTTTTCCAAAAACTGTAGCACAGTACACCACTGGAGCGGCGGACACGATACGCCGGCCACTGAGCGGCCCGTTTCATCAATGAAACGCCTCAGTGCGCATGTTCTGCCAGATGTCCTTCGGCACCTTGGCCAAGTCTTGCCAAACAGCCTTCCGCACCTCCTCGGTGAAGCAGGACGGGGGAGGCACCAAAAACTACCTGTCACAATAGGGTTGGAGTGACGAGGGGCGGAAAACATGGTTGCCATGTGCGGCTTGGGGATCTGCTGATGCACTTTTTGGAATACGTGTGGTACGGTTTCCTTGTTTTGTTTGAAGACATTTTCTCAGATGGAGACAGCATGCAGTGAACCTATGTATCGATAAGAAGTTTGCTGAAGCGCAGCTTAATGTATTTTTGCTACGATCGCAGTGATAGGCCCCCCATGAAGCCCTCTTTTTGATTCATCCCAAGTAGGAGCCAACTAGTAGGGAAGAGGTAGGAGCAGGGAAGAGGTAGGTTTTGGTAGTTGGGAGCAAGTTGGCCACAAGGCTCCATTGGGAGAATAGTCAATAATCTCTTTACTACGAAAAAGCTCTTGAAATATAGTTGGAAATACTCGCAAATACATCTGTTTTGTTTGTTTGGGTGTTCTTTGCGCAGAGCTATCTATAAATAACAACCTTCAATGCAGTTTGCTTATTCTGCTTATCTTGCCTTTAGTGGGTTGACCAAAAGGGGCACTGAGAAAACTCTTGATGGAGGCGTTATAACTGAGTCTGTCGAGGTTTAACCACTAGTCTGTCTTTTGAATGCACAACCGGTCAAAATCTGACTGCGCCTCCAGGAAGTCAATGAAGCCAACAAAGTAGTCAACAATGAAGTGCGTCTTGAGGAGCTCCATCTCGCCGTTCCCAACTCAAGTCAAGTGCGCTGCTTTGAGATCACTCATGCGATCCATGCAAGAGTAGGTCTGCCACTTTAGGGGCATGACCACTGGATCGTAAGATGGCCTGCATCCAGTGTTCTTTGCCAGACAACTGAGCGTCGTTGTCCAGTCAGCTCGACTGCGTGCAGTATTGGGCATCTCTGGCTTTGGCACGCCTTGTGGCAGTGGTGTTCGCTGATTATTGCCGTCATCACTGCCCTCTTCCTCAGCGTCGCTGTAGAAGCAGTCGCCGAAGGGGATGTTCTTTCGCCCACGCTTTGGGCATGTGGCGACGCGTTGAAGCAGTCAACGACGCAGATCGAGCAGTGCATACCGCGCAGGCGGCAAATGCACGCTTCCAATTATTTCCACATCTGTCTTGACTGGCTCCAGCCAATTCTCATGAGTTTGCTTGGCCTTGCTGTAGTTGCCAGGCAGAGCAAATCCGTCCACCCGTCCGCGCATCTCCCTGGAGCAAGACATTCCTCAGAGCCTGCAATGATTGATTGCAGGGTTTTGGTGATCCCTGTCCGTGCGTGGGTAAAGACCCATCAACACCCATCATGTAGATCCCTTCCTCGTGCATCATCAAGCGTCGTTGTTGGAGAGCCATTGTTGAAGGGCGGAGTGGCCAATCACTTCCAGTGGGCCACGCATTCCTGAGAGTCTGCATTGGCTCCGGCCGATTGGCCTCTCGACTGGCTCCAGAAAGAGAGTCCAGAAAGAGGCTTCTGAAACTCAAACGCGAACTCACCTCTGCGCAAGGTTTTGGAATCTTCTCAAACCTTTCCTCACTATTCTGAGGTGAGATCCAGATTTCAAGCAGTCAAAGCAGCAACAAAATGGCAAGAGGCCCGGCAAGATAAGAAAGTTGGCAGAAAACAAAAAACAACAGCTAAGAACCAAACCAAAAAAGAATACAAAGGCTACACCGCTGCAAGCCCAGCGCAGACCAATGGCAGTGTACACAGGGCATGTGGCGCAGACCAAGCGCAGACCAATGGCAGTGTACACAAAGCATTGGGCCGCAGACCAAGCGCAGACCAATGGTGCCACGAGGCTTTTGGTTTTAGAATCTGTTCAAAACGTTCCTCACTATTCTGAGGTGGGATCCAGTTTTCAAGCAGGCAACTCAGCCACAAAACGGTAGGAGGTGCTGCAAAGCAAACAATTTTGCAGAAAACAAAGAACAACAGCTAAGGTTCAAACCAAAAAGTGTACGCAAGACAGGCTAGCACAAGCCAAGCACCGGTACACAAAGGATAAACCAAAAAGTTCACAAAAGGCAGGCTAGCACAAGCCAAGCACAGACCAAATGGCAATGTACACAAAGGATAGTGGTGCAGACCAAGTGCGGACAAGTGCAAACCAATGGCAGTGTGCACAAAGGATAGTGGCGCAGACCAAGCACAGACCGGCGCCCAAGACGCCCCTTGGTGTCCAATGAAGTGTTCTCTGCGTCGCAGCCGGCAAAGGCCATGCACTGCCCGACATGTAAAGTTGTCCGACCCAAAAATGAATCTGTGAAGCTGCGAATATTAATTGAATCTCATTAACTAGTTCTTTGATGACTAAGCAAGGGCGAGGCTCACCCAGAAACTATAAACAAAAAACAGTTGAAATTGTTTGTGTGAAGCTGTGACTGTTGGAATGTGGAGTTGTGGTTGCAGCCATGCCAGGGAATTGGAGTAAGAACATGCATGGCTGTCTTGAACCCTTTTCCTGAGCCAACAAAAATATTGCAAGATCACACAATGAAACCCATGCTTTGTCACGGACAATCGAGTCATTGATACGACGTCTCGGCAAACATGCCAGTGTCACCTTGAAGACCATATCGTTGAAAGCAGCCAGGCCGTCGTTGAAGATGAAGTCCAGTCCGAAATGTCCGACCCAGCTCAAGGTTTAGTTTACTATTACTATATCTACTTAGAAACTTCTAGCGTTGGACCAATGATCAATGACTGCACCTGCACCAAAATTTACACTGCTTCAAACAAGCCAGTCATACCAAGTGGACAAATCATGCCAAACAATTGATGATCAGAACTCAACAGCTTTGGCAGTCACCCTTTCAGTCATGAGTCATAACCTTGACGTAATTTATGGGTGCCCTTTGAGTGCAGCAGTAACTTTGGCTGGTCATTTCTGGAGATATCATCTTACACGGTTTGAAGCCCTTTACAAGGAAAGCCAGCATGCAGCAGCTGTATTCCCATTGAATTGTTGCACTACCCCCAAGTGTCACACTCCGTATTTGTGGCCTTTAGTGGCTTGATAGCCACCATCTCAACTTTATTCATATACTAATTATGGCTTTGCTTTGATTGTTCGGTTCACCAATACCAACCAACAACAATATGTTGAGCTTCTTTTCCAGCCTTTTACAAAAGTTGGTGTCAAATCTCACGACACTTGACCTTCCAACATAATTTCCAGGTGCCTAGCTTATGATTACTGCAATTGAAAAATTTAACTGCCACCACCTTAAGGATTCTCCGACCCTGCAAATCATACTACCCAAATTGAAACCCTTAGATTCATACCAGGATAGAAAAACTGCTGGAACGTGCAATTGCAGCACTAAGTATACTCAACTGAATTGAAGTATGGAATCAATAAATGGAAAGTACATCACAACCCGGGTGATTAATTGTTAATTGAAATACTGCGGTTTACAAGTTCTTGACTAACAAGGTTTATCAGGTAATTTCATTTTTCTGAATCAAACAACTTTTTACATGCTGGCATATACTGACAGTCATGCAAATTGATGCTGATCAAACACATGTCTAATTTCTACCTCTTCCCTGCTCCTACCTCTTCCCTGCCAATCGTCCCGTCTGATTTACATCTATTAATCTGTTCATATTTAGCGGGAAAACCTCAATCCCTCCGCAGTTTCAGGTTAAAGGTTATCCACTTTTCCTGGATAGGCGCACGTGCAGCCAAGAAGGGCAAACAAAATACAAGGGCGCTCCCGGGTTTGGCAGTCTGACCTGTCAACGCCCAGCTGAGCTTCTGAATCCCGCTCCAAATAGGTGAGTCAGCCCGAAAGGAAATCGCACATGTCTTCGCATATCGCGTTCATTCACGTGGGTCGCTTAAGTCCGAGGCTGAATGAAGCCATTCCCTCTCAGATCTACACTTTGACTCACGTTCTGGGGTGGAAACCATTGGAAACCTCATGCAAACATCCCTGTTCACACCGGGAGTGCCAAATCTTTAACCGGGATCCTCCCTTACCGAACCGGGCCCCGTCCACCATGCCCCGAACCTCGCGAGTTCGGCAGCGAACCGTCGCGCGTCACGGTGAAACACCCTCGGTCGACGGGAATCTGTTGGAGCAAAGACTGAATCAACTCCGTACAGCTTGACACCTGCGGCGTTCAAGAGCGCTACATTGACAGAACACCCTTGGACTTGGACACGGACCGAAGTGAAGGGCTTTGCAATTCTGCCCGAGAAACGCGAGAAATATTACTCCTCAACTCTCATCAGTTTACATGTCCTCAGCCTACTCTCTTACATGGAAACAGACCTTTATCTTTTCCACCAAACCTCCCAGGCGTCGAACAAATCGTCTCGCGATGTCTCTGCCGTGCGGATCTCGGTGTTTTCCACCTCGAATGATGAAGGGGTACACGGTGGTCTTGATGGCCTCGGTCGAAAACGATGCGGCTTGGTGGTGCGGAAAGAGGAACGCACAGACATGCAAAGACCCAGAAAACGACATGCTGAGAATGCCAACAAAAACCAAAACACTGGCTTGATGATTTAGAACCAACAGAAACCATGCCCGGACCTGGCCCAGCACACCCCGCTGCCATTTCGCCACGGCACAGGGCCGCCAGCCACCCCACAGCTGGCCAACGTGCAACCGTAGACCATCTGCGAGGCAATGGTAGGGATCGTCGGGCCTCCGGCACGAGTGACGTAAGAATCTGGCGGCCAGGCGCATGGAACAGACTGCACGTCAATCCAATCTTAGCAGCCTGGTGTAGGCATTAAGCTGCAGTCACCTGCTAAAATATATCTGAAGCAGCAGTCTGAAGCATTGCCCTTTTGCCTCACAAGTAGCACACAAATCAAGGTCTAACAAGCTGTCAAATATGCTACGTAATAGGTTTAGCAATCAATTGGATGAATGGCATTGCCCTTTCACGTCACAAGCAGCAAGCAAGTCAAGGACCAACATGCTGAAACCTGCTATGATCTAAAGATATCTAAAGCATTGGATTGAAAGAATGGCCTTGCCCCTTCACTCCACGAGTAGCACAAGTCAAGGGCCAACATGCACAGCAAATCTTTTGCGCTGCCGCATGTCATATCCATGAATCTACACGGGGCAAAATAGGTGTTCCGTCCTCTCACATGAATGACGGTCAGGTGAGTCAGGTGATTGGGATTTGGTGAGTGTGTTGCTTTCCACGTCCACCCCGTTATCAATACAGGCTAAGTGTATTTGCAAGAAAAACACAGAAACACATTTTGACGCGAGGTGACCGCTTGGTAGTTACTGTACTTTATACCCTTGTGATTCTCACAAACTTTGACAGTTGTTGACAAAGGCAGCAGAAAAAAACAAGCATTCAGGGAGACAAATTCAATTACATCTATGCATTTGGGTGGTTTGTCTTCACCTATCTGTGAAGCAACACCTGCTGACCATGCGGGGGACCTTTCGGCCTTTCCGGGGGGGGGGGAAATCACCGCTGACCTCCGCTTAGCCATGCTTTGCCTCTTCAGATTGGTCTCCATCCCCCATGTTGGACCGTCATCCTCCCCGGTCTGACACGAAGCGAAGCTCGTCCTCCGCCGAGCTCCGCTGTTCGGCCTCCGACCACGTCGATGGCGCCGCCCCAGAGCTGCTCGTCCAGCGCCTTGCTGTCGGTGGGCAGCGCGCCCACGATCTCGGTGGCGCCCAGAGCGCGGAGGCCTCGGAGGGTCGGTGTTAGAACTGGAAAATGTCCACCACTTTGGCACAACACCTTGGTGAGATCCAGACTTTGAGTTCCCAATCGTTTCCTCTCTTTTGAAGGGAACTACTACTTCTTGGGCATCTGACAGTATAGCTATGATAGCATATAGCTGCCATTCAGAAGAGGTCTCTTGACCCCAAATCTACTGTTCCACAGATCCGTTGAGCGGGTGACGGCTGTGCACAAGTGGCGGTGTTACAGGTTTTGAGACGCCACCACATGGTTTGGATGGTTTGGATGGTTGAAGAGGGGAACTTCTTTTCGATACACTCCCGAAAACTAACATTGACCCGGGTCGAATGGCACCCTCAAAGACTGTTTTCCTCCACAAACCAGTGTTTTTTTTCAGAGTCTATGTTCTTTTTCAGTGGGTAGATCCCGACTGTAGTCACCTGCCAACCACAGCAAACTTGGAAATTCGTTGCTGAGACTGCTGTGACATCTTGCACGTCTGTTAGGAAAGGAACAGCTGTGATAGGCCCCAACTACATGGAAGCCAAAACGAATCGTTTTCAAACTGAACGACTTTGACATCAAACTCATGTGGCTGTGTAGAGCGTAGAGTTTTTGTGGACCAAACATACCTTGCAACCGCAAGCTATTGGCGCATAATTTAAGGTGATTCATTGGTTTTATATCTAAAACAACATAGAAAGGCATTTCGTCTTGCAGAAGACTACTTCTCCCCAAAAGAGCTGGCCTGAAAGGAAGGTTTTCCAACGGTGTTTGCCAGTTTTGCCCAAACATGCAACGCACCGCGTCTTCACGGTCTAAGACCAGGCCATGCATCGCTGCTCAGTGTCCTTGAAGCGGGTACCTTAAGCCACAGGGCTGGGAATGCCCCATCAACACTTTCCCAAAGGTATAGGAGTCAACCGTGGGCCCAACGGTCAACCTTTCCGCAGATCATGATTGATTCCGCATATCTTCTAGAGACATTATAGTTGCGAAATGTTGCGAACTAACTTGTCGCCCTTTTTTTGGGGTGTAAACGGTAAACAGCAACACGTGTGCCCAAAACCGAACCCCGTCCAAACCAACCGACCTGTCTGGTCCGAGCGCGACGCGCCGCGCAGCGCCCGAGTGGCACGCCGCGACGCGGCAGCCCTTGCGGTTCAGCAGGTAGATGGCGACCGACCCGACGCCGCCGTCGGCACCTGTGACGAGGATGGGCTTGCTCCGGTCATAGCCACTCTCCTGGTGGTGAACATGAAAGAGTGAGACGATGTGAGACGATGTGCAATCAAAGGAGCATGCAAAGAAAGGTATAGAAAGGTATTATACTATACCGACTATACCGCCCTATATACCTCATGATTGGGCATCATGAATCACGTCATATTTGGCAGCTTATGAACCTGCAGGGCAGTACGGGGCTTGGGTTGGCACTCCAAGGATAGCGTCAAGCACAAATATGGGACCAGCGTCAGATCTGCTTTTTCGACGGCGGCATCAAGCTCAATATACAAGAACAAAATGACATGGCACAGTAGCCCATTGGTAAAGTAATTTTGTAATCAATCAAGGAGAAAAAATGAGGAAACAGTTCGCCTGGGTCTGGTTTTGACATGTTGTGTTCTATCCTAATGGTCAAACAGATTCAACAAGTACTCCTGGAAGATTTCTACTTTTGCAGCGTTCCCCCGCTCCTCCAAGGCTCTGACACACAAGGCCGCCGTGAAGCCCGCCGTGCCGATCGTCATGGCATCGATCGCTGAGAGCTCAGGGGGTAGAGGCACCAGCCATTCAGCCTGGAGACTCCGAGGATGGCAGGTCTGGGGCAGCCCCTAGTAGCGTCCTTGCTCCTATAGTAGTAAGGCCAGGAGGCAACCGGTCCGTTCTGTTCATGTTCGGCGGTCCCCGGAGTTCTTCACCCACAGATAGGAGGCCCTGGTCTCAATCAAGTCGTCAACGGGTCGACCGTCGATTGGGAGTTGACCGTCGAAAGATGTTCAGGAAACGTCCTCATGGACGGAATTCGTCATGTTCCTTCAGGTGGTTTCGGTCGCTCCCCTTGCAACCTTCTCTTTCCACTAGAGCTTAACCCTTTCATCTGCAGGTGGAATGGATCTTGGATGTCTTGGTCTATCCTCTTATTCCGATCATCGGTCAATTGTATAAGTTCATAATTATACTGCTGGTTCCTCTTGAAACTTTGATGAATCAATCACATGCATGGCCACCGATAGGCACTTGGTGCCATGTCCTCATCCTCAACAACCGTTCTGCCTCTCACCCCCCCGTTCGGCCCCGAAACCCGGGTCCGTCCGTCCCGTCCAGGACCCACCTTCACGCTGGCAAATTCAGCATGTCCACCGTGAAACTTCTGCCCCATCTCCCACCCAGTCATAATGACCTTGTCGCCCTTCTGAAAGCCCGCTTTGGTCTCCTCGGGTGGACACAGCGAAAGTGGCAAGCGAGATGAAGCGATCCGGGACACCGTTTGGCCTTTGGTGGAGGCGTGCCTTCCATGAATTGGGTTCTGAAATTGGTGCATGCATGTATACTATCATCTCTTGTGTATACTGTACATACAAGGCCCAGTTCATTCAGCAAGTGCCCCAGCAAAGTGCGCGTTGGGGCATCATTAGGGTCGACATCCAATTGCCGCCAGTGGAAACCAAATATTCTGAATGTCAAAGACTCCTCTTAGATGTGGCAACGTGTCGTGTTGGCAACAATTGTTCCAGCTTGTTCCTTAGGTCCAATTTTGCGACACGATGCTGTCTGATAGATGAAAACCGTGCGGTGGGAAAATCCCACGTCTTCTATGTCTTCAAAAATCTGGCCCTACTAAGTAGGGTTTTGCAGGCCCGGCAGTTCCTGGCAAGTCTAGACTAGTTCCTTCCTAAGAAAGCCCTGCCATCCTTGGACAAGACTTCCTGTCCTTTTCGGGATTGCAAAGATAAAACAAACTATTGCCCCGCTTGGAACACCTCTCCAAGATCAGTGGATGGTGTGTTCCACGAAAAGCGCTGTCTCATGATGGGGTGCAGAAAGAGGAAAAAAACGCCCGGTGTGGACCTATCTGCTCATTCAAGCAATAGGACCTTTCTGTTTGGAAACTGAGCAGGAATAGGATGGAATAGGGAGGGAGGAACCAACCAGCCAACAAGACAAACAACTGCCGTCTCCAGTCTCAATGGAAGGTCCAAGCTTAAGCAAGAACTGTCAAAATCGTTCAAACACCAAAAATTTGTATACCGCTTGAATCTCGGCTTCCGCTGCGGTTTTCCAGTCTATATAATGCCAGGAACATGTAGGACGGGTATATATCATTCGCAGCGTCCAAGGCTGCCAAGGCTCATCGACGATCCCCACGAAGTCGATACCCGTGATGAGCGGCAGTGTTTCAACCACGCCGTAGATGCCACAGATCGCCATGCCATCCTGGCGTGGGTGGCGTTGGGCGGCGCTGGCAAACGCGCGGCGGCAAATAAGAATGACATGGGAGGGCGGGTGATGGAGGTTGAGATTTCTACGCACTTGGCCAGTTGAATACCTGGGAAATCAAAGAGGAATCTCCCTCGAACTATAAAGTCCGACTGTTCTCAGTGAGTCCTCCAATGCAAGCCTTATAAAATTTGCATGAAATGAATGGGCAAGTTGGATCTCTGGCAAAGGTCATGGAGCCGTTCTTGGGATAATATTGTAATCTAATTAATGAGCAACATCAATCCCATTTTCACCTGCAGTAACTGTACATCATTGGTCTCTGGGCAAAGCCTTTGAATGGTCCAGCAGCTTAGAAGCTGGCTTGGGTGGCAGCTGAGAAACTTCTCAGCGCTTAGTCCACTTCCTCAACGGTGGGGCCACTGTTGCCACCTGGGGCGCCACCCATGTCGGCACCGGGCATGCCACCTTCTGGCATACCGCCGCCGCCTGCGGCCTGGTAGACCTTCATCATGATGGGGTTCACAACGCCCTCCAGCTCCTTCTGCTTGGCTTCGAATTCGTCCTTCTCGGCCAGCTGGTTCTTATCCAACCAGTCCAAGGTCTCCTGAACTGCCGCCTCGATCTTCTCCTTGTCGCCGCCCTCGAACTTGTCCTTCAGCTTCTCCTCGTTCAAGGTGTTTCTCATGGTGAAGCAGTAGTTCTCCAAACCGTTCTTGGCTTCAATCTTCTGCTTGTTGGCCTCATCCTCGGCACGGAACTTCTCGGCCTCCTGCACCATGCGGTCAATCTCGGACTGGGACAAGCGGCCCTTTTCGTTGGTGATGGTGATCTGGTTCGACTTTCCAGTGGACTTGTCAGAGGCCCTCACGTTCAAGATACCGTTGGCATCGATGTCGAAGGTGACTTCGATCTGTGGCACTCCACGTGGGGCAGGGGGGATGCCATCCAAGTGGAACTTGCCCAGCAAGTTGTTGTCCTTGGTCATGGCTCGCTCTCCCTCAAAGACTTGGATCAAAACACCTGGCTGGTTGTCGGCATACGTGGTGAAGGTCTGTGCCTTCTTGGTTGGGATGGTGGTGTTGCGCTCAATCAGCTTGGTCATCACACCGCCGGCGGTCTCCAGCCCCATGGACAACGGGGTCACGTCCAGCAACAGCAAGTCCTGCACCTGCGAGGAGCCCTCGCCGGTGAGGATGGCCGCCTGCACGGCCGCACCGTAGGCCACGGCCTCATCGGGGTTGATGGACTTGTTGGGCTCCTTGCCGTTGAAGAACTCCTGGATCCGCGGAGTTTTGTGACAAACATGTGACAAGTCACTGGAGGCCTGTGTCAAACAGACATGCTCTCTTGAGGACATTGATATGTCTATAGTCATGATGTCATAGAATGTCACATATAGCTTCTCGTTACTAGTAGCTACTTGCTCCTAGTAGTACGGCCAGGAGCCCCCTAGTAGCGATGCCAGGAGCCCCTAGTAGCGAAGATGGTTTTTGATATACAGCTCTGGGTTAATACATTTTTGCTAAAGCAAAAGGAAAACTCAGGTAGCGTAACCGCTACCTTTCGTGATATTGTCATGTCTACAAAGGTCTTTGACTCTTGCTCTCCTGGATCATCGATTGCACCTTAGGGATTCGGGTGGAGCCACCCACCAAAACCACATCGTGTACGCTCTTCTTGTCGATGCCTGAATCCTTGAGGCACTTCTCCACAGGGCCCATGGAGTTGCGGAAGTAATCCATGCACAACTCCTCAAAGCGTGCTCGCGACAAGCTGCAGGAATAGTCAATGCCCTCGAACAAGGAATCGATCTCAATGGTGGCCTGAGTTGAGGAGGACAAAGTGCGCTTGGCACGCTCGCACTGCGTCCTCAAGCGTCGGATGGCACGCTGGTTGCCGGTCATGTCCTTGTTGCGGTTCTTGCGCTTGAAGTCCTGAAGGCCCGGACTTCGAGTCGATCCAACTGGCTGTTTTGATCCAACTGGTCTACAGGTCTACAGGTTGTGATGAAATATAATGAACGAACGCATACGTATTCGACCGATCAAAATTTCTCCTGGATGCAAAAGTCCACCACGCGATTGTCGAAGTCCTCACCACCCAAGTGGGTGTCACCCGCGGTGGCCTTCACCTCAAAAATGCCATCTTCGATGGTCAACAAAGACACGTCGAAGGTGCCTCCACCCATGTCATAAATGAGCACGTTGCGCTCACCTCTCGAGGTGTTCAATGGTGTTGAAGTGTGCAAAGACAAGGTTCAACAAGCGACATTGACTTCAAACAATGGCTTTTCCTCCCCCGCCCTGCTCCTTAAAAAGGCAAAACAACAAAAAACGCGCCAAGTACACATGTATACTTACATACATGTACATGTACTAAAGCTTTCTCTGGTTGTTAGTCCTTTAGATTATGCATCTGTTAGCACTTAGGGAAATCTCACCTGTGCCCTTCTTGTCGAGGCCATAGGCGATCGCAGCGGCCGTGGGCTCGTTGATGATACGAAGCACGTTCATGCCGGAGATGGTGCCCGCATCTTTGGTGGCCTGACGCTGGGAATCGTTAAAGTAGGCAGGCACGGTGACCACGGCATCATTGATCTTGGTGCCCAAGTAGGCCTCAGCCGTCTCCTTCATCTTCAACAAGACCATGGAGGAGATCTCCTCTGGGTGGAACTTCTTCTCCTCACCTTGCGCGTTCACCACGATCATGGGCTTCTCTGCCGGGCCCGAAATGACCTTGAAGGGCCACAACTTCATGTCCGCCTGCACGTGCGCCTCTGTGAACTTCCGGCCGATGAGCCGCTTGGCGTCGAAGACAGTGTTCTCGGGATTGCGGGCCACCTGGTTGACAGGTCTACCCAAAGCCGTTGACCTATACCTGGAAGGTCCTTCCTACCAGCTTACGTGGTGAACTAGGCGGCTCCAACAGTCTTTTGGAGCCATCTCCCCACCTGATTCTTCGCGGCATCGCCAATCAGTCGCTCGGTGTCGGTGAAGGCCACCTGATTCTTCGCTGAGCGACCAACAGCTTCGACACCGAGCGAGGCTTTGCACTCTTGGGGGTGAACTGGAAACACATGGCCGTGTTGTACTTGAGGCCAGGGGGAGAGGTCGAAAGCTAGCCGAATCGCACCGGATGTACTAGTTACATAGTCGGCAAAGCATGTAGGGATTACATGTTTTGGGAGGAAGGTTGCTATGTACATACTTTGCGCTAAAGAATGTAAATGTGACATCGCTGACTGGGAAGGGTACATTGGAACAACCCGGGTGCACTCGTTGGCAGGCACGAAGATGCGTGATCGGCAAATCTGGGGGGTAAGTTTACCCTCCGCTTTTGTATGCCTTGAGTCGGAAAGATGGGTAAGCATTTCTGACATCATACGGACTGTACATACACTAGGGCGTCCGTAGTGTAGGAGAAGCACGGGTAAAAGGTATATGGAATAGAGTGTCTTGAGGAAATAGCCGGTGTATGGTTATTGCAAATCTGGGGGGTAAATTTACCCCCCGCTTATGTATGCCTTGTGCTGGAAAGAGGGGTAGGCATTTCTGGCATCACAAGGACTGTGCATACACTAGGGCGTCCGTAGTGTAGGATAAGCACTGGTAAAAGGTATAAGGAGTAGAGTGTCTTGAGGAAATAGCCGGCTTATAGTTATGGCAAATCTGGGGGGTAAATTTACCCCCCGCTTATGTATGCCTTGAGCCGGAACGAGGGGTAAGCATCACAAGGACTGTGCATACACTAGGGCGTCCGTAGTGTAGGATAAGCACTGGTAAAAGGTATCAAGAATAGAGTGTCTTGAGGAAATAGCCGGTGTATGGTTATAGCAAGCCTGGGGGGTAAATTTACCACCCGCTTATGCATGCATTAGGTTAGAAATAGGGGTAAACAACTTGTAACGGTGAAGTACAAGTCCTATGCAGCAAGCAGCAGCCAGCAGCAGCAGCAGCAGCAGCAGCCGCCTGCAGCCAGCAGCCAGCAGCAACCACCAACCAGCAGCCAGCCAGCAGCACCACGCAGCAGCAGCGCAGCATCAAGCCGCAGCAGCAGCAGCACCACCGGCAGCAAGCACCACCGGCAGCAAGCAGCAAGCAGCAGCAGCAAGCAGCAAGCAGCAGTAGCAGCGGCGTCATCAGCCGCAACAAGTAGCAAAGCAGCAGCTACAAAAGCGGCAACCAGCGGCAGCAGCAAACAGCAGCAGCAAGCAGCAGAGCGGCAGCAGCAGCAGCACCCTTTACACCAAGCCACCATTTACACCCAACCAACCACGTTCAACCAACCCCCTACACGGCGCAGCTGGGAGTTGAACCGCGGGGCGGGGGGGGGGGTTAGCTTGATATATCAATCTTTAAGGCACGCAGCCCCTCCCACCACAACATTGCTAAAGCAAAGAAGAACTCAGCTAGCACGCTAGCTTTCGTGATCTTTTCGAAGTTTTGCCTGCACTCTTGAGAGTTCTTGAGCCTGGCTCTTGAACAATCTGGCCCAAGGCTTTGCATAGATGTAAAAAGGGGCCAAACTGAGCCATTATAGGAGTTACAAGGGCTCTTGTGGCACTTTTGATTTGCTACCTGGTGCATATGGATCACTGATTATCACTGTGTGCCAGATCCGCCAGAATTGGGCGAGGTGTCCTTCAGAGATTAGCAAGGCTTAATTACTCAATGTGCTTGCTTTTGCAAACAAGTTCTGAAGGAGAGCCCTCACCTCAATGACTTTTTTCTAAGCACATCTGCACTGGAGCAGTTTGGCATCAATGCCAAATTCCACTATGCCAGCATCTGGCGTGGAGATGTTCCTCAAATAGCTTTGCGACTGCATATCTGGACCCATCGAATTCGATAATGTTCTTGAACTTGGATTGAGGGCAGTTTGCAGCATGGATGATTTCATGCGCCTTGTCTACACCGCTGACCGCATTTTGTTGACGAGGGAAGCGTCTACACAGGCAACGGATCTGTTGACAACATTCCTGGAGTCGTACTACACATGCTTGTTGCACTGCTTCCGGAAGCAACAAAGCTTCTTCAACCTTACTCCAACATTAGATAAAGTTAGACCATGTCCGATATGACCTGCATGCAAAAGTCTTTGGATGATCCAGAAACGCGTGCCTTTCTCAACCCAGCAGCATGGTCAACTGTCAACTACCATGGACGAAGATTTTGTCGGGGTCGTTTCCAGGATTGGGCCATGGTGGCTTAAGAACAGTGAGCTGGTGACTCGTGTATGCCAACACCCCCTGGATAGATTGGTCGGCTGGAGTCCAGACATGTCCAGACAGTGGTGAACTGGTGAGGAGTTTGGCATGGAAAATGAGCATGGCCAAACAAAGGATATATTATATAGTGGTGAAAGTAGACCTGGACCCAAATTGGTCTGACTAACATCGTCTTTGTTTTCCAGCGTTTGCCGATTGAGAGTCCCACATAGGACGGAGTGGTCCGGTTCCCCTGATCATTCGCAATGATCTCCACTCCATCGTTCTTCCAAACACCCACGCATGAGTAGGTGGTGCCAAGATCAATTCCGATGGCGGTCTTCTTGGCCATGATGAATTGAGAGAAAAAAGGGCGGATGTATCACTGAATGCTGAAATCGGCACCAAAACTCTTGAGCCCAAATGGAATCGAATCTGCAGTTCCTTGGCGAACCAAATCACGTCGACCTGGAAGTGAACATTCCCATCGAACCCCACAGTCTTGGCCTGAACTTATAGGACTGAACCAGGGCTGCAACCTACATACCAAACAAAAGCAGCCAGTTTTTAGGTCAATCGGGCTGAAGCTGGACTAACCCCCTCCATTTGTTTTCGTACACGCAAACATGACGAACGAGGCGTCGTCGTTCGACCGTTCGTGTTGTTCCCAAACATCAGTATTACGCACCAATGACCATGAAGAGTTCTCGTGTTCCGCCAAAACACACATCTGTGCAGAAAAAGAGGCACCCAAGCGATCTGGGAGGGCCATTGTTCATGATTTTGTCGGATGACTCCAGGAAGCTGTAGCAGGTTGCCTTCGGACAGGTTTCTCAGCCGGTTTTATAATACATGGTCCATGGTTTGACTAAAAGAACCGGTTGAGTCAGGCCTTGTAGTTCAGTCCGGAGAACTCCACTTTCACACGCACATAGTCATCGCCTCAGAAGACCAGTCGTGTGAAGACCAGTCGTTCTGAATCAAATTCATGGCGCCAATTGATATAAGGTGAGATATAATGATATAAGTATATTATATATGTGTGATATAGGGCGATTCGCTTTGGGTGATACAATATCGTGATCATGATACGAGTAACAGGTGATATAAGCAATTGGGTGCCAGCTGCGAGACCAGGTAGCAAAGGGTGTTGAACGATTCTCATCTGCGTGATGTCAGTATATATTTCTCTTGCGTTTCAAAGGCTAAGATGCAAAATCAGTCAACTGTGAAACGTCTGGCTGAAAGGTACCTCATGGTACCTCCACAAGCAACAATTCAGTACAACTGGAGCATGCTATAATATGGTCAGTAGTTTCACCCCAACCTCAGAGCCACCTCGTCTTCGCCCCCCGCTGCAAGTTTCGCACCCAAACAAACTCCTGCTTTGGAACATTTTGGAACACCCACTCCCCTCCTCGCCCAGCCTGCAGTGAGCTCCTCAAAGGGGATGTCTTTCACTGCGGCCTGCACACTGGCGCCCGCCTTTTCAATCCAACACGCACGGAAGCCTCGGCGAGGTCGCAGAGTGGGGTGAGCCGATGTTCGAAGTGTAGTCGGACGTTTTGATGAGTTGGTCATGTTTTTGCTGGCAAGTTGCAGGTTTACAGATGTTTACAGAAAGTACAGGAAATCCGTAGACAGTCTCATTGCCTAACTAGTGCTCTTTTAAATTGGGATATGGAGGCAATGTGACACAGCACCAGGACAACAGGAAGGGACAATGAAGACAACTACGACTACTCCAGTCAATCAATGAGCATTCAAATTATTAAGAGAACTTATGATTTCGAATTCCTTTGAATTCGTCTGATCTCAAGACTCACTATCCACCACAGGGCAGTTATACAATCTGCACATCGCATGCTCTGGTTTGCAGGTTGGCCCCTCTCAAACGATGTCGACTTGTGCCATGTACTTCATGTACTGTACATTCTGAGGGGTAGAACTATACCTCAAAGAACCCTTTCAAATCCAGGAAGCTCTTTGCCATGGCGTCGGAAGAAAGCACCCGCCAAAGGATGACCGCACTGGCAGTCACGTTTGCTCCCCTCTTGGAGCTAAACTTGATCCCTGCTAAACATCATCACAGCTGCGGATCAAATGGGCACCATTCGAGATTCATGAAGCAGACGGAATGGGCGGGCACCAGCCAGAACGGGTTCCGAAGACGGAAGATAGGCCTTTCTAGAGCCTTTTCTAGATGAGTCCAGCGAACAAACATCGTGCTTCTGAGTCTCAAACGCAATATGTTTCCCCTGCGCCAGGGAGTCTGCCTGGATACATACCCAAATGATAGTAGACGGTCACAACAACTCAAATCATACAGGCTTCAAGAACCAAACAAAGAGAGTTTCTCAACCCAAGCAGGAAACCATGAAGCACCATCATTCCGAATTTGACCTGCTGTGTTTGTGCGCACAAACATCAATCATCATCAAACCACCCCTCAACCTGCAAAACAAAAACACATTGGGTGAACAGTTCTCTCTATCGCCTGCTTGAAGTTCATGCGTCCAGAGTCCATGCTCTTCTTCAGAAAGCTCTGCAGTGCCTCGCTTTTTCTCGACCGGTTTCGACCGGAGCCTTGAGGCTTCTGATCGTGTCGCTTGTGGTTCAAGCTCGTGTCAAAAACAAAGACAACGGAAGAACAAACCTCTGGATTCCTTGGGGGTGCTTGAAAACACGTCCATCTGCGTAAATGATGTGATCTGTGAAATCTTTGGACAGTCCTTCTGAGCATTGTTTCGCTGCAGGCGACCGAGAAAAAACAAGGTCTCATCCAAGACGGCCCACACCAAAGAAACCTGCAGCCTGGCCTCCATATGTCCCTGCTCCAAGAGATGCAAATCCACAAAGCGAATCCAAAGTCTAATCGAGTTCCGCAACCCACACATATAGATCATCCAACTAAATCGCTGTATATACACAAATAGAGAACAACGTGTTCAAACATGTTTTAATTATAGGTATATACAGTATTTATCTGAACACATATTCGCACCTTTCAGGATTCATGTCTCTTTCACCTTTGGGGCTCGGTCTCCAAAACGCCAGCGAATCACTGACCGAAGCCCCTCCACTGACGCGTGGCGGCCCACCTCTTCGTGGACCTCCGAGGTGGAGCCGAAGTAGTGCGCCGGCCCAAACCTGCACAGCTCGAGCCCAACGGGTGTGCCAGCTCGAAGACGGGTGCTTGGATCAGGTTTCCCAAGATTGCCGCAAGATTCATATATTGACACAAATAGTTTTGGCTGAAACGCCTAGCAGCCTATTTCGGGTGAACACCAAGAAAGTCTTGCAAGATTCTAGAACACTATGATAATGTCTGTATATGTCTGTGCTTTGCCTTGTTTGCTTGAAACTTCTGCACCACTGATACTCTGAAACATAATAGAATGTTCAATCATCCATCAACATCCAATATACAAAAACAATCAAACGCATACACAATATAATATGCATGTGTTTTAATCGTTTCAAGTTTCAAGGTCGCCAGTATCCTGTATGTTCTTCGGTCACTGGACTCTGTGTGACGGCAAAAAGCTGAGTCACTGGCAGTGATGCAACTGGCTGAAAAAACTCATCCTTGGTGCACCGTGGGCGGAAGAGGCAGAACTGGAGGCTCATGGTAGTGTGAAATAGAACACCCTTGAGCTGAAGTTAAAAGCCAACAAACACTGAGACTCGGTGATCACATAAGCTGGGGTCGCTCGGTTGAGTGGTGTAGAACACGGTCGCTCAACTGCGACGACCGAACCCTACTGCAGCCCACTGCCGCCCACGGCTGCTGACCCCCTTCAGCTTCCGCACCCACTTCACCGTCTGCTGATGCTTCCTTGCTCTCGCGAGCTTGCTCCGGAGCGATTTCCTGGGTGAAAAAGTGGCGAAGAAGATATCGCTTGCATTCCCTTGCCATGGTTGGGTGGTACTGTCCACCTTGCCATTTTTGGGTGGGTACTGTTACTACCACCTATGAAATCATTCTAACAAACATACAGTAACTAAAAGAGGACTGGACCAAAACACAGACACACACTTATAACCCCAAAGAGTCCGGTGAAAGGTCCCAAAACAAAAAAACACCATGTGTTCAGATGTTTTCATTTGCTTCCTGTTGTTTCAATGTTCCAAAAAAACCGGACCAAAACGACCCCCCAACCTCTCCAACCTCTTCGCCAGCACTGCACAGTGCTCTCTCTCGTCGCTCTGGGTGACGAAACAAGGACAGCTGGGCCATCTGGTCCATGGCCTCGCTGAAGCCACGCAGCTGATCGATGGCCTCCGCGGTGACGCCGCGCAGAGCGGCCCAGGGAACGACCAGATGCCGAAGGACACGCAGGATGAGAAGGTACTGCTTGGCTAAGGACGATATGGGATGAGAAGGGACATCTCCTTGTTGGTGTTGTGTTCATTCCACTGCTTTCGGCATTTCAGGACGATCTCCAGAAGCACCAGGTCCAGGTGGAGGCAATACATGTCACCTGCGTAGCAACTTGCCCCACAACACAGGAACTTACCTGGCTGCGTGGCACCAGTTGTCACAAGGACCCAGTTCATCAGTCCATCAGCCTAACCCCAATTCGAGCCTCGATTGCGGCAGTGAGATCTCCTTCCTGTGGAAGCGAGGGCATTGAACTTCTTGTCATGATGGTCGGTTGAGATCATGAAAAACCGAGAAAACAGTGGTACCAAGCAAACAGTTCCGGGGTCTCCCATGCATGTTCAAAGGAAGTTCACTCGTCTTCGCTCGATCTGCTTGGGATCCAAATGCTGATATATAATATATAAATATTACACTTGGTTCCTGAATGCCAATTTTACTTTGGGTGCCCAGCAAGGGAGCTACAGAAAAACAGTTTGCAAGAACGATCCAAGCAATATCCTCAGAAAATATTGGCTGTGAATGACATTGAGTCATGATTGCTCCCTTTCGGGGACACTCAGAAGTGAAGTACCTTCTATACGCAGCTTAGCGATCAGCAAGCTGATACATGCTGATACACGATGTGGCAAATAGCTTGCGACTCCGGGTTTCCCACGTCGAACAAGTCAGACTTCTGAGGCCAAAATCTCGAGGTGACAACAATGTGTGGCCAACATATCATGGACAGGACGCTTCGCAAATGAAACAGTTCAGTACACCTGCTTTCCATTGTGCACATGTTAACAACATGTTTGTATTGTTTGTTTGCCTTATCTATGAGGCCAAGGACCCGGTTCCAGCGGTTCCAGCATACCTCTACAGGGCCACAGCATGCTGACTCAGAGGATCCCACTATTGTTTTGTTTGTGTGTGTGTTTTTTATTTATCACCATATCTGGAAGAATCTTCACAGACTCAGATTCAGTTTGTTTTTTTTGAGCTATGCCCTGTGTCTTCCAACGCATCTGGAACCCTCAACCGATCTTGTGCGATGGCGGTCACACGCTAGTTGTTTTTTGTGCTTCTTGTGCTAGTTGTGTGAAAAAGAGAAAAACACAGACTCAGCAGCATCGCACTTCCAATTCTTTGAAATATCAAATCTGAGTCGATTCCACCGACTGAAGGTCCTTGGCTGCTTTCTTCGCGTCCAAATACAAAGGAGCGCACCTGAGTTCGGGCTGGGTTCGCTCTCGTGGAGCAAAACAACCACAAATCATACACATCATACACAAACCTTGCAGATTCCCTAAGATCTGAGGATGCTCGGCAAAGAGAAAGGCAAAAGCCAAATGACTGAAAGAACCAACTTCTAGCTGCTTTGAGTAATCGAAGTCGATCCTTTATCTTTATCTCAAGCTCAGTCGACTGAGGGCGGAAAGCCACGGATCTTGGCCGCCGTGAATCAACATCAGGCCAACGAGTTTCAAGTTTCGGGTCCCAACGTTCTTCCGGAACCCCTTTTGTTTGCTTTTCGCCCCCCCCACTTGAGGCAGGTCTGACGTCTGGCTTGGCCAGTTGCTGCTTGCTGTCCCAAACACTCAAGGTCCATGGTCTTGGTGTGGCTTCGGCCTTGGAAGGAAGGACAAAACAGTGGGGGGCCGAGTGTTTTTTGAAAAGGGGAGCGTTCTGAACTGCACAGTCCTGGACGTCTGGCCGAGGGAAGAACTTTCAACCAATTTCTTGAGTCAAATGGATGTCCAGGAGTGAAGGATACATCGAAGTAAGTTGACTGCCGCCTTACTTCTGTGGGTACTTGAGCCAGCATGAAGCAATTTCACAAGCTGCAAACTCTTCTCCATTACACTCTACCTGCTGAGTTGATTTCTTTGTCACTTTGAAGGAATACCTCACCTTGTACCGAAAATGCATCAGTGGTTTTAGCTTTGGCTCTCCTTCGACTGTGCGGTCTAATGTGGATGTTGAGAGTCAGCCGTGGCCCTCAAAAGGCCCCTTGAGTTTTTGACGTTCAGATTGCTTCGTATACTTTGCCGCAAGGTAGGAATGCAGGTTTATGCTGGTAAACCGGTGTTTACTCACAAGTGCCTTGGATGGCTGCAATCTCCTCCACAAAAAACAACTGTAGGCGGAGAAACAACTGAAACGAACGACATACAGTAGTCAGCACAGGCCAACATGGCCTTGTCCGGGTCATGTGCACATACATGATTTCTGCACAAGAACGATCGGTGTCGGCGTCTCTTAAATGGCTGAAGTCCTGAGAACCGATCGCCCCTCTACAAGCACCCACAGCCGAATCGCATAGAAATGGAGATCCAAGCGCCGAACACATCTTCAGCTTGCTTTGCGCCTGAGAAACTCATCACACTGTGCGCAAATGATGTGTATATCCTCAAGCTGCTCTGGGAGATCAAATTTGTGGAAGCAGTACATGGAGGAGGGTGGGTGAGGAAAGCTCGACTCTAGCGTCAATATCATGGGGTCATTGGTTTCTAGCTGGGAAAATGCTTTTCTTCATGAATCCCAGCTTTGATTGATGTGGACATGTCCCCGCACAGTGTGGCATGACACGCCACTCAATGCGAAGTCGTTGAGACTATAGGCGATGGTCGTTGTTGTTGTTGTTGTTGTTGTTGTTGTTTTGATTCATGGGAAGCAACATGAAACAACATATGATCACTGTTTTGTTTGCCAAAATTGTTTCCATGGCAAAACACGCAAACGTGAACAATATCTTTGATTCCCAGCTTCGTCTTAATCTGGGGTATACTGTACTCAATCAATTCCGACAGCAACCGGGCTTGAACATGGACCCTTCATCGCTATGTGATTCGAAAGTCTGGGAACCGTTGCTGGGAATTCAGAATGGGTCATTCAATGGGATTATCAAACCTGAATCCAGGATTGTCAGTGAACAATGCAGCATGTTCTTGGTTGTTTACGGTGGCCAAACATGTAGCTGTGTCAAGTGTTGCGTCAGAATGACAGGACTTGGTTGTACTCTATGGATGGTTGTTTGGGTGATCTTCCCATCACACCACGGCCTGGCATTCCGTGCGCGTTCCGTGCCTAAACGCCTGGGCTCCGCACTGGCTTGTCCAAGAAATGAAAGTTTGACCTTGCAGGCTTTCAATGCCAGCGCGGGCCATGGCCATGGCCATGCCATGGCCCTCTGAAACTGATATGGATGGCCCAATTTCACCTGTGATGACATTCTTTGTGCTTGTCTTCTGTGACTGTCTTTTGGTTCTGGTTGAATCGGTGGGCTGGCTGTCCTTCCTTCTCTAAAGACGACACGTTGCATGCCGTGCTGTCGTGACACCTGCTTCAACATAGGACGACTTCCTCCAAACCAGCCTTGCGAAAGGGCCCTGAACTCAAAACTCTTGGTGGATTGAACCCTTTTGAACCACAGGGTGTCGGACTCCCAACAGAATCACAGGGCACTTGGGTTGTGCGGCCCCGGAACAAACACCGGTAGTTCCAGGCCTGTACAAGTGGAAACTAGTAACTAGTACATAAGGCACCCTGTAGTGAGTGGATGACTGATGGATTCACTCATCAGAATTTGCCGGCCCCTAAATTCCGGGAATGGTGCCCAATCTTTCTCATGAAAGGGTCACAACGCGCGACGCTGAACAAACATACTCCAACAACCTATTCAGTTCACTGCAGCAATGTCCAAATAGGTCCTCCATGTGCAGTGACAAACACGACACTCTCGCTGGCGATTCCACTGAAATTCAACAGCACACCTGGTCACCTGGTCGTTGGATCGCACCAGGTCAGGCACTGATGGACATCACAGTCAGCGACGCAACCGACCGCGTCAAGAGCGTGAAGTCAGTTCTCCATCCGTTCGGCCAAAACGCCAAAGTTCCTCGAACTTGTAAAGGTATGTGGCACGCGTCACATCTGCGCCATCCTGACCCGCGCTGCGAAACAAGCTGAGCATGTTCATGTTCGAACAGAAAGCGCAAACAACTGCTAGCTGGTGCTTTTTTAGAAGGTTGGAATTACGGCTATGCAGTGGGAAGGCTTACTTTCGTCTGTGCTTTTTCATAGAAGGCCATACATCACTGCTTTAACATACTTGTACTTGGATGTTCCTTCCAGTATCGTTGGTGTTTACCCCCTCAAAAGCCAACAGCACAACTCACAAACTCCAGAGAATCACAGATTCCTGACAATCACCTCTGAAATTGCAAAGAAGATCCAAGATCAACGTGCCGATCCCAGTTCCCATCACATTCTCGATCTGCATCCACTTGTTCACTGACATTCCATGAGCATTTTCAACTTATTAAATCTTGTTTTCGCAATTGTCCTCAGTCCACAGTGCAGGGTCTACAATGCCGCTCGGCTGGTCTAAGCCCGAGGGAGGGAGGGAGGAAGGGAGGGAGGGTTCAAGGGCCAGTGTTTTCCTGTTGATCCACCCTGACGACCTCGCCATACAGGAACTGCAAGATGGAGCCATCACTATCACGCACTGTGTGATCATAGTTTACCTGGCCAGCATCAGCATTCCACACGGGCCATGAAGGAGTTGCAAACCAGGTCGCAACAGAGGTAGAGTAACTGAAGAGGAGTCCTCATTGAAGTGGATATCGCAGGAATTAGCAGGAATGAGCTAGGAAAGTTTCTTGTGTTTGCCCAACAATGGGTGGATTGAGGGGATGTCTTCTGTCTTATTCTTGTCCTGGTTGATCCAATTTTACAATTGATGTTTTTACCGTTGCACTCACAGATCTCTGTCATTTCCCATGGCACATCAACACTTTGAATCCAACAAGTGCTGCTGCAAATATCCATGTTCATTGATCCCAATATGTTCTGACAGGCCGAAAAGCCTGTTTCTATGTACTACATGTAATAAACGAGCGATCATCCAAGATCCTTCCAACAGCACAACCACCATGCAAAAACAAAAACGTGCCATTCCATCACAAATTCACAACTTGGCAGTGTAGAGATTGACCACCGGACTTGGCTTGGATGAACAAGCCTTGGTTTGGAGGTGCGGCCACGATTTTGAACATCCCAGCAGTTACAATCTTGGCACCCTCCCTCTGCTCACAAAAAACATACACATAAAAACCAGTTCCAGTAATCAATTCCTGCCTTCAGGATTGACTCTTTACAAACAATGGATCCAATGGTTCTCAGGTGTTGATCTGTCTGTTTCCGCACATCGCCCAAGAGTCTTAAGAGCAGTTAAACCATTAGGTGGTGGGCACAATCATCCAAGTTGGGTGACGTTCTCCGCCACCTTTTGATTCACCCGGATGAGTCGCTGTTGGTCTTCACCCAGCCTTTAAGGACTCCATATGCTTCACCAAACAGCGCTGCAAGTAGCCTGGAACCCCGCCACATGCCCGCACGAGTCCAACGGAGAGGACCGGCCGTGGTGTCCGCACCGTAGAGCTATGGATGATTGTGGATATATTTGTGGATGTGTAATTGCACTGTATACTCCCTAGCACTCCAAATATATCCTTAGGTTCGCTGGTTAGACCCCTCTGGCACCCACCCCAACCACCCTTCTCAGGAGGTGGTTGGAGCCCTAGGGACTGTATACAGTACATCTGTTTAAATGTTGAGAGTCTTGGCAAGTAGGTTTGCTGATCATCCTATTCTCCAAAGCTTTGACCACGTGATACTACATTGGGAAGGGCCGTATGAGGGAGGTCGCTTCAATGGCCATTCCAAGCAAGCACAGGTGGAATATATAGGTAGCAACTTTGCATGTTTTGACACCAACAATAATTACCCAATACATAGTCATAGACAGATAGAGAAAGACTCACACAGCTTTCAAAGAACCTGCGCACATCCATTCTTCGATAGCACTCCATGACTCCATGACATCGATTCGTTTCCACATGGCATGAGGTTGACCTCTTGCGCCACACCTCTCGACTTGCCCACTCCCATTGTTCACCACCAAAAGCTGACCCAGTCGTTACCCTGGACCCTCGTGACCCAGGCGGGAGGACACCCCGGTAGAACACCTATGCGTGCGAACAGCGGCGGGAGGCGCCTGAGCGTGAAGTCTTCACAGCAGTATCCACCAAGCCTTCTCGGCCGGCCATGCAGTGGAAGAAGAACTCCTGCCGGAGCTACAGGTAGTTTATGAACACATGTCTCAGAATAGGCCCTGGTGGAAGTGGCCGGAACCCTTGCTGGTTGTTGCTTGGAAACAACACCTCACGGTGCAGTCCAGTGGGGTTCAAACACACCACCAGAGTCACCGTCTACTCCCGGTTCCAAACCATCACGGCAGTCTTTCGGGGGCCCACTATGACTCCTTCAGTCATAGGCTCACACTGTCAGCCAAAGGCGCGGAAAGTCCAAAAGGAGGGCGTGCATAGGGGCAATCTCCTCCCCTTCCTAGTACATCCGTTCTCCATCGAATGCAGAGGGTGGTGTTGCTTTGTTCACCTGGCACTCCCGGTCTTCGATCGAACCACAACACGCTCCTGAGGTCTGATGCCAGTCAAAAACCGGTCGGCGATATAACCTGCGGTGAAAACAGGCAAAACAGGCAACTCACAAGCTCTGTTGAAGTTGATGCAATCGATGCACTGTTTAAGTCCCTCAACATCACACAATATCCCGAGGTTTGTATGCAACATATCGTCCATTGATGAAAGATCCGAAGATCCTGTTTGTTTCCATCCAAATGACAATCCAGCTTTTCGAACTGTCAATCGAGTCCCCGCCAAAACTGAAAATCACATGGGTCTGCGCAAAAAGAATCAAACCAGTCAAGCGGCTATAAATTGTCTTTATAGTTTGACATAGTTTGACTATTTCTTTCATTTAGATAAATCGCTTCAGCAAACTCTTTGCACTGTGCACTGATTTGAATTAGATCAGTGCATCACCTGGAGTGGTCTTATCACAGCGGACACTCGTTCACTCCACTCCGGTCCAACCTCGGGTACGGTTGGACAGGTCGTTCACAGCGAAGCAGGGGAGCGACCTGGAGGACGAAGAACGAGCTCCGTGCGTAGCGATGCCAGGAGCCCCATTCGTAGCGTCCTCTTGTTCCTAGTAGTAAGGCCAGGAGCCCCGCTCCTAATAGCATGGCCTCCAAACTACTAGCGATTTACTGTATTATATCACCTTATGAACTGATCCAACTACGTTCAGGCTTCGCAAATCGGTCACAACAAAAATTGGTGTACGCCAGGAATTGTCGACAGCATTCGCTGACCGCGGTGAATCTCCCTTCGCCGTGCTCGTTGGAGTTGATTTTTCCGGGTTTCTGTACACTGTATGCTGTACCTGTACAAATCCCGCTCCTCGGACACGAAGCTGCCGCCCTGAAAATGACGAAACTGCCGTCCTCTCTCCCTCATTTGGCCACCACGGTGCCAAGGCATGCACTGACCAGTGGCTGGAAGACCGGGTGCTCGGTGGAGATCTCGTCAGTGAACGAACCTTCCTGGCCACGAGGTATCCATGGCTTCACTGCCATGACGATGCTCTTGAGGGCATAGATCAGATCAGCATCCTCCATGTCAATGTCGATACTCGCGAACTCCGCCTGCAGAACCCAAACACTCCCATACATTGTCCCCTGAACCCGCCCCAATGGTGGTTTTGAAAGGTCAATGTAAGTAACAATATGCCATACATGCAGTGTCTGGGGAACAAGAAGGGCGTCCATACATGAACATCGAAACCCAAGCTCCGAAAGTTCAGCCGAAAGAAACCCTTAGCATCAAATCCAAATCCCATACGTCGAGGCGTAGTTTCAGGAATTTGCAATTTTTACAATAGTGAATGGACATGCCAAGGGAACTTCTGCAGAATGAAGACTTGAAATTGGATTACAATGGTTATTGCTTCACTGTAGATGTCAAAACGAACGCACCAACCGTGAACAAACACATTCGGATATAAAGCCACCCGCACCGAAGGTGCTGAGGCGTTAAACTGTCATTGCTATATAGCTTTAGCTAGGGGGGCATTTCGGTTGAGGCATTTTCCTTTGGGAAGGACAATGTGTATTCTGCATCATGAGGCGTGTCTGGGAGAGAAGTGGGATTGGAAGAAAACATTGAAAAATACAAATGGTTTTTACATTCTATGTCGCTGACTATATATATATATACATATACGAACATATTTCATGATTGTATCATTCGCATTGCTAGGTCCATGAAAGGCAAACAAAAGACTCCTCTCAACAGTCTATGAATCAAACATATGTTTCATGATTGCCTCATTCGCATCAGCTGATTGCAACTGTATAGTGTATTACGGTAGTATATGCGTCAGCTGGTTGCAAGTGTATAGTTGTACAAAATGCATACAAGTTAGCATAATGTTGACCCCCTGAAACATGTACAATTTCAAGGGGATCGAACACAAATATCCAACAAAGCAAACAAGTTGTAAAGAGGGCCCAAGCGCCCATGGAGAGACATAGCTACAGACAGTGTAAGAGGGCCCAAACATAGAGTGATTGTAGACACTTCTCTATGTATTATTCATCCACCTCATGCTGTGTTCATCTCTAAGTTTTGTGTCAATCATGCACATTGTATAGTCTATTGTACATAATTAGACAGTATATTCATTCTAAGTTTCGATCCCCCCAAAATAGTACACTTTTCAGGCTGTCCAATTATGTTAATTTGCAAACATTGCTGGCTATAATTAGGACCTCCTGAACAACAATGTATATCCAACAATGCTTACAGCAAGTTGCAAGTAAGACATAACTAAACAATTAGACACATCCAAAAATAGAGTGATTATATATAGATATGTGCATTGTTTCGTCCACTGCATGCTGCGTCCGTCTCTAAGTCTTGACTCGATCATACTTGTATAGTTTATTGTACATATTTTGGGTACAGTGAGATGGGATGGACATACCAAATTTCTGCATGAGCAGGAGTGCCTTAAAGTCAAATTTCACGTGTTTTGCATCTCATGTGTGTACTCTGACGTAGTACCATTGGTGCTTCTGGCTCTTGATGCAGACGTCAGGGCCGAGCAATGTGCACGAGAAGGAATGAACTGTTGACGTGTGACGTGTGGCCCTATATTCAACCCTTTCTTGACAAACAAGGCCTGTGTAGCTTAGCTCCTTAATTCTACTTCAACTCTACTATACATTTCGTTTGCCAAGTGTCACTCATTGCGCATCCCATCTCATATTGTCCCGACTGTGGCACAGTTCCCAAATTTGAAAGTCTGCAGTTCTGGACATGCCAAAGAATCTAGCATTCTGGCAGTGTCAGGACACATGAGATAGGTTTACAGCCCATGTTTTCGAGTGTGCTTGGGACACATGAGATAGGCCAATCAACACCGGTGAGTGCGTTGCGCTAGTCACATCACATCTGCAGCCAGTATAATCCCTCCATTTTTGGACCCCCTTGAAAATGTACAATTTCAAGGGGGTCGAAAAATGAATCCAACAATGCTTTTGCAAAATGCAAATATAGGAGAAAACTAAACAATGTATCAACGGGTCCAACAATAATGACATTGGCACTTCTTTTAACCCCTCTCTGAGAGCCACTGGTGCGAGCGGTTGTTGTCGCGAAGCGATCCGAATGAATACAACTTCCATGTAGCAAAGAGGGTCCCTTGTGGCACATTAAATTTCGACAACGATCTGCCTGGAACAACTCGGCTACCTCTCTTGAAAAGTTCACGAACGGACTGTTGATCACAATCCTGCACTGGACATCGAAGGGGCGCTGATCGAAACCAGCCAGTGGGTCCTTGGGCATCTTCTTGCGCTTGGCCTTGGCCACAGTCAGAGCATGCCCCATGCGGATGCGGCTCAGCAAAGTGTTCGCAGGATCCGCAAAATCCAGCAGAGTCACGACCTGTGCCAAGACCCGCTCCATCTTCTGCTGGAAAACGCCGGGGGACAAAAGGTCCAACACATGCTGAGCCAAGGGGAAGATGTGACCAGCCTTTGCACCCAGTTGCAGTAAGTAGGGGATATTCTCCACCTGCAGCTTGTGTGACTTGTAGTACGCGACACTCTTGATCTTGCGGTACATGTACCTCACCATGTAGGACATGTTGGCCTTTAATCCTTCTGCATCGCGTTTCCTTTTTTCCGAACTTCGCTATAGGACATCATTAGGAATGAATTCATGTGATGTGTATTTTAAAGGTTTCTATGTGGCTCGTGGCTGGCTGCATGTTGCGAGTCATGTTCTTGAACCATCAGCACCAGCAAAAGCAACCAGCCACCCGTAGAAACGCTTCTTGACTCTCATATACTGTATATAGTCTTTTAGTGATTAGTGGATTGAGAGTGGATGGCACAGACCCCAAGAGGTGGTTTATATGGACCCCCATCTAAAGGAGATGTAGAGGTTTGTGCTATCTGCTCTGAAACCACTGTATGTATAATGTTAAAACCTGTTATGCTGCCTATGCTTGATCAAACTACAGTAACACTTTCTGCGCAAGGAAGTTTGAGGTACACAACGCTGTCAGGAATTGTCTTCATCTCCAGGAAAGCAAAGCCCTCGTAGTCGATGATCGGGTCGGTGCCAATCTTGTCCAGGTTGGCAGGAGGATACATGGTCAAGAACTCAGCCTCAGTGATAGAACCCCACACCAAATCATCTAGTTTGCCGATCATGGAGTTGAGCTGATCAGAATGGGTGATGATCCAATACATTGGCTCTTCAAAGCCATGAGTGTTGAATGCTGAGTGAGGAGTGTACCGCTTGGACTCACAATCGCTGAGCCCCAGAAGAATACACCGATCACGCTCGTATCGGCAAGCCAGCTCAGTGTGCTCCCGATCACCGAGCAAACCTCTGCGGTTCTTACACATGTTCTCGAAGGAGACCACCTTACAGCCATCCTTCCCAAGCTGCTCTGCCGCAATTCTTGCAAGCTTGTCAAAGATCAAAGCACCATACTGCTCCATGGCAGCAACACAAGAATCGTACAACATCAGCTCTTCACGAGTTGCCAAATGATTGCCGGCAAGGAGAGCAGTCGTCATGTAGCCCTGCATATGATCACCCATCATCAGGCCTCCTTGCGTGGCTGGAACCATCATGAGGTCATCCACGCCATGCAGGGCACCGTATTCCTTGCCCTTCTTCTTCCACAGCTTGACCCAATCGGAACCAAAGCCATCAGTAATGGCATCCCAAATCTGCCCCTTGAGTCCACAAGCAAGCGTCACACCAAAGTAAGACCCATCACCTTTGGAACTGAGATGACCAGTGATTGCACCACCCTTGGCCAAAGTAACACAGGTATGAATTGTGTCATCATCAAAGATCGCCACACGACCCTCCTTGAGATCTTGGGTCTCGTCAATGCCCTCCTCCCGATGCTGTCGCGTGCTCACCTCCGCACCACGTTCCAGCTTGTAGGAGATGCACCGCACATCCGACTGATCCTCCGGGTTGATGAACAAAACCGTGCCACGAGCCTGCTTTGCCCACTTGTTGCGCCAGTAACGGTTCCCCCAACGGTCCTGGTACCTCAGCAAACACACACAGCACTCCCACTTCTCCAGGTTAGCCTCAATGTCCAAGAGCTCGTAGGATCCAGTGATCACACCAATCTCTCGGAATCGCTGGGAAAGAGCCACAAGATTCTCCTTTCTCTGCTGCTCCGAGAGTAGGGTCTCTTCAGCAGTCGTCTGGTTCTTTGGTGACAACGGAAAGCTCAGCAAGAAGCCCGCCTCTGTGAACCACTGCTTCAGCTCATAAGGTCCGCCGGTACGAGCTAGCAAAGTAGCATACATGGTCTCAACCTCCAGATCCTTGATCGATGGGTCAAGGCCAGTGTCATCACCAAGGGTCGGCTGGAAGCCATCCTCTTGCTTCGAAACCGACATCGCTGCAGCTGCCGGTCTCAACCTCCAGATCCTTGATCGATGGGTCAAGGCCAGTGTCATCACCAAGGGTCGGCTGGAAGCCATCCTCTTGCTTCGAAACCGACATCGCTGCAGCTGCCATGGCTGCAGCTCTACGCGCTCAACGGCCGTCGCGGCACCCGGCAGTCTGGATCCGGACAGGCAGCCAACGTCCAGCATGGCTCGGAATTTGCCATTGTGCCATCTACTGGCCATTGAGACAATTGGCAAATCTACCCAAATTTTCTCCAGTACATGGCGCAACATGACCTTTGTTTCTTTAAGATCTTTTATCCTTAAGGTGTGTTGAGCCGTCTATTAGCAGAAAACCCGTTACACACACACATGAATTGAGCCATGTATAGCCTCGCTACTTTCTGCCCGGAGTTGCGCCATCCATTTTTACCCCGGTGTAATGTATTTGGTTGATTTGGCTGTGCATATAGACCAGATAACAAGGGCTGCAGATGACATTCCTTTCTTTCTTTCACCAGTTGGTTTGCATGGTACCCAATGTTCAGCCGTATTTCGCCCGCGCGAAACGACGAACACTCAGCCCACTTCCACCACTCCGGACGACGGCCTCTGTGTCCCCATTAGGGGTGGAAGACGTCCTTCGAGCTCCTGCGGCAATCATCCCAAGAGGTTGATGTCTGACTGCAAGACGCACATGCGAGTGCACGCTGCGTCTAACAGCAGCCTGTTTTTGTGCTGGTCATAAACAAACGGGTCCTTATATGTAAGTTATATGTATATTAATATTAATATATATATATATGTGTGTTGAATGGTTTTGACATGTTATGAGCAGCCATTTCTTGATACCATTATACATTATAAACATCTGCAAAGAGAATGGACTGGCCAAAGGGAATGATTACGCCCAATGGACCCCTCAAAAACTATCAAACACTTAGTCTTACAAAGTTTTGTTGCTACTGTGCAAAACACGATTTAGTTTCCAGTTTTTCTGGTAGCTGGGAGTGCGTGATATCGTCCTGATTAGGTTGTCTCGGAAATGTGTTTCTTGCGGTTTCACAAACTTGCACCTGCTGGCTTAAGGAACCTTGATATAAAAGAAAGACAAAAGAAAGACAAAGACACACATATTCCGAAAAGGGGATATATATATATAATATATACTACATGTAAAGACTTGTAACTATAATCATAGGGAAAACACAAGATCGCCTGAAACAAATTCAAACAAAAGGTTACCATGGCGGGGCCCACCATGGCCCCATCGGCGGCCACGGTCCGTGTCGCCCTCCACGGCCGGGCACGGCGCACGAAATGCGCTGCATGAACGGCCACCGGAGCAACCCCCTAAGGGAGGACTGATGGGAGAAGGGTAATCCAGAAATCAAAAGCCACCTGAAGCCACGTGTTTCAAACTGTTTTGGACTTGGATGGAGTAAAGTGTTTCCTTATTTCTCACGTGAGTTCAGTTCATTCATGAAACGGCCCCTTGACCTCCCCTTCACCAAAACACTTGGAGTGCCCGTCCAGTTCACCCCCCGTCCCGTCATCTCCTGCTGCCCCAAACAACAGCTGACCTGGGACCTTGTGGCTCGGTACGCTAGGGCGGTCATGATGGCTCGGTACGGCGGCGGCATGTGATGCCCTGAATTGGTGCAGTAGTTCATAGTCATCAATGTTCCTCATATATAGTCATCCTTCAGCAGTCCGGGTGGTGGACCAACCTGGGTGTCCGCAGTTCCCAGTCACCTCAGTATAGTAAACTTAAATCCTTGGAATTGAATCTGTAGCGGCAAGCCTGGTAGGGTGTGAAATTTGTATACTTCTCATGGCTTCTCTGCATGGCGTCAGGAATTATCAGCATGATGGCTCATCTGAAATCACCCCCGGTGGACAAATCCCAAAGAACTCAGCTTTTTTGTATGTCCATATGATATCCAAGTCTCTGGAGTTTCACGGTGCAAACAAAGTACCAACCTCTTCATTGGGTCTCATTCTTGAAAAACCACATTTAGGTTAAGTTAGTTGAGCAGCTTCACTTCAGCAGACTGGAAATCAGGAAACCCTCTACCGTGCAGCCATCTTCCAATTCTGGTTGTAGATCAACAGCTCACGATCCCAATTCACACCCCCCATGGTCATCCATGGTCACCATAGACCTAAGACCACGTCATCTGTCGTATCATGTCGTATCTGAGGCCGTCTGCTGGTTCACTTTGGATCCCTTGGCCCCGGTCTGCACCATGGACTCAGCAACGCCGATGAAGCACCGGGGCACCACCAGGAGGCACCCGAGTCCGGAAGATTCGGCAGAAACCCGCCCACGTTGAATGGGTCTGCGATCTTGAACCCTGGGCCTGGACACCTTATTGATAAGAAGGGCACCTTATTCAAGGACGTCTGACCGTCTGACCTTCTATCAAGACATCTTTAAAAAAGCACCTGGTTCCCAGGTGAAGGACTTGGCCGGGTCGATCCGTCGGAACCCCGGCAGCGCGATCTCTGGCCGAGAATCTTCGATCTGGAGTTCGACTGAGCGTCTGATTTTTGGACCCAAGTCGGGTGGTAAAAACAACATATCTAAAATGACTTCATCGAAGTGAGCGGAAGTGAACATGAAGTGGCTACAAACTTGGGTGGCTACAAACTGCTATACTGTACTGCAACAAAGGGTCAGCTGCGTTGAACAGCTCAACGGGGATCCCTTCATCATTCTCCAATTCCATCTCTGGGTCTTATAGAATTGTCACACGTTTACAGCATGTGACCTGGCGCAGTGGCAACCGCACCGTCCAATCCAATTCAGTGTAGATTTAGAAAAGTAAATAACGCAAATAAGCACTTCCAACCCTCATAACCTAGCCTACCATCCACTCGCCAGCAGAAAGGAACACTGTCAATGGGACCATCTGATATAATCCACCTTCAGCGTGTTAAAAGCGTTCGCATGATAAATGTTCTGTGCGAGTTGTTCCACGCTCGAACAAAAATGCCAGGGCTGCGTCTTGGCACACTGAGACTGTAGCACCAACGCTGTATTGTCACGGCCACACTCACAAATCTCACGTGATTAGCCAATTAGCCTTCAAACAAGAATCCTTGGCAACATGGTGGTATCCTTTCAGACTGGTCACATTAGCTCAAATGGACATACCCACGACCTCGGTCTGACCGAGCCAGCTCAGAATCTGCCCACCTTCTGGGTCCGCTGAGCGTCCCGGGCTGCGAAACAGTTCCGTGGCACTGGGAGGCGTTGTCCAATGGGGATACACCTGGTATCGGTGGGTCACTGACAATACTGACAGGTCTTAGGTGATGAGATGAACCCGGTAGATATGAAACTCTTGGGTCTTCGGAGTCTCAGGTGTAGGTACTCTTGTCTGGCGGGAGGTACTCTTGGGAGTTGTTAGGGTCCAGTTTGGGAATTCCGGCGATTTGGCTCATGTTCTGTAATCTTGCTATTCCCGCTGAGAGTCCATCACCATTTCTGTTATATACTCATGTCCTAGTCCTGCAGCCGTTTGGATGGGACATGCTCCAGGGTTTCTATTCAGGTGAAGCTTGTGCCCTTGCGATGCCCTCGCGTCGCGATCTGTCAGGTGTTTTTGGTTTTGCTGCACTTGGATAATTAAGTCCATCTAGACCGCTGGCGTGACCAAGATATGACTGCCAAAAGTGCCAGAAGACATCGGATGCGCTCATGTTTGAGTTCTTTTTTTGGATTTCCCTCTTCACATATCAAGGATTCAAATCCCCGGCTGGGAGTCCAGATTCCTCACAGCTCCCCTCCCAGGTCTCCAACTTGTTGATCATGCCAGACCAAAACTCCTTCATCTTGCCTGAGCCGTGGCTTTGGCCGGGTGCATGAACCCAACTGACCAACTCTGACCGACTCTTTGACTTCCAAAGGTGCGTTTTTACAACTCTCCACATGAAGAAGGTGGGACAACTCTGAACCTGAGAGCCAGAGAGGAAAGAGGCACCAGGAATCATCTCCCTTGTGCCTACCTATACCAAGCAACACCCTAAAATATGCTTCCTTCCTCTTCTAGAATCACCATATACACCAAAAACCAGCTAACTACGCATACAATGTCATGCGCCCAGTTCCATGCTTTCAGGAGCGTCTCCGTAGTTCCGTCGGCCTCGCCCGACCTCCGTCCGTCCCCGCAGACCCGGAGACCGACCGACCGTCGCTCCCCCTTGCTGGGCATCCGCGCCGATGACCAAACCTTCGAGGTGCTCCACGGTCTGCTTCTGCTGAAACCTTCCGACGGTCTGCTTCGAGGGCCGAGTCGAAGAGGTTCCGCCGATTCGCGCAGGTTGGAGCGACGCCAGTCGCCGGATGTCCGGTGGAGAGGGCGGGATGTTTCGTGCCCTTGCTCCGAACAACAAGCAGCGAGGACTCTCCGTGACGCCTGAATGTAAAGAAGTGCAGGCTTGATTCGCACCTTTTCCCTTTGAGTTCCAAGTGTGGGTTGGGTTTCCAAGGTCCATCGCCGTCCATACCCAGTCCGAGACCAAGGTCCGTCAGTGATTTCACCTGCGGAGACCTCGAACATGCCAGGTCCGGCATCAGGTCTGTCATCAGGTCCGTTGGACACCGCCACTCAGACGCATCTGTCTCATGACCCAGCCCCCTCCCACGTCTAGGTCCGTCTAACAAGCAAGGTCAAGCTTAAGGGAGGGGATGTTTCTTGTTGAGGCACAATTAGTTATACAAGGATGTATTTATCATTTCTTTTAGACAGCCCCAGTCTCCATCGTCCCGCCACCCCCGTTGGGGTACCCGACAGAACTCTGGAGGCCCTGGAGAGTTCCTGCAAGCTAGGCTTATGAGGCCTCAGCTCGATGTGCGGGCCCAAGGAGCAGAAGAAATGGCGTGCATGACGCCTGCGAGCAAAACTGTGGACACGAAGGGCATGTATTCTTGGAAGAAACACGGTGTAAAAGTGTTTCTTAAATGATGAGAAGCCAGAAACAACTATATATATATATATATATTTGTGTATAAAATAGTCTAATATAGTAAATGTTGCTTGCTTGATGCTTGTATTTCCTTGGAACCCGACAGCGGTGTGGCCGGGTCGTGCTTGTGGACCCTGGCAGTGTCATCAGCGCCATCATGTGCCATCCAACAGTAGGCAGTTTCCATGGCTGTCATTTGCTACGCTGCAACTAGGGTAGAACCTTTTCAAATCAAGTGAGTTAACTCGCAGCAAATTTACCAACAAGATCTTGTTTGAATATGTTTGCATTTTGTCTGGCCAGTTCGTACACCCTTCAAAATGAGTTCGGTTTGAACCAGGACGGGGTTTGACCGTTGCCAACATGACAT